TGACTGTTATTTAATTATTCAAGGATACACAAACATAAAACTTTCAAATGCCAATCATCTTTCTGAATGGAATTATGAGCTTTATAATTAACATTTATATTAATTTTCAATTCCATATTTAACAACATGAAAACCAATCCTGTTTAGAAAAATAAAAAAAAAATTTAAAAATAAACATCATCTTTGAGTCAAATTGTAGTTTTATTTTATTCCTGGTCAAATTTCTAATTTTCTAATGCGAAAAGCACACACCCTCGAATCACAAATAGCCACAATTTGCTTCTCGTCAGTAATATACAAAATGTTGTGATAGCTTTGATCGAAGGCTTGTGTTTACTAAAAATTAATTTTCAAAATACTCTTATCCATTTCATGACTCTGTAATTTTGAATTTGAGAAGAAAAACTGTTCAATCAAGATTCGGCATTTGTTACAGTTGGTTGTTTGCAAATTCCACCATAATGATTTATTTTCAGATTTGTTGTCAGTTCCAGTTTATGAAAATATTCAAGATTTTTTTCTGATTTATTTGTCACTAAATCATTCTAGAATCCATACTAATATATTGATGCTTTTAAATTATAACGTCGTTTGTCGTATGCCAGTTGAACAATTTTCTTGTTTAGATGTTGAATTCGGCTAAGGCCGGCGCGGGGTGGGGTCGTTGCTGATATGGTGCATTTACCATTTATGCAAATGTACAGGCTCAATAAAACCAAGCCTGCAACATTTTCAATTTTGCAATTTTGTACGTATTTTAAGTTTCTTGTTTTTTGACCGTTTGTTTGATTTTATCTCAAAGTTGGCTTTATCTCGAAGTTTCATCAAAAATTTATAATACACTGAAGTAAACCTGTGTGGTATAAACAACTTTAACCATGATAAGAAATCAAAACATGAACTAAAGTTCGATATCGGTGTTTTATTGGTACACCAACTAAGTTCAATTACTACAATTATATTTTATTTCATAACAAACTATATTTATCAATATATCTTGACATAAAATATCATTGATACTGGTATTTTATGACTCTTTCAAATGTTCAAGTGCAATTTTAATACATACGCACAAATGCGTTATTGCCAGTGTTGTTCTTATGATAGATAAATTCAATCTGTGCGATCCTTTATTGAATACTGATTTAAATACATTGATGTGATCTTTTCATATGAACAAAGGTGGGCCAATATGCAATGCAATATTGTCAATGAATTAAACAAAAGAGCAAATATTCTTATAGAAATTTTCTAAAAGAAATACAAAGTTTCAAACGTTAAATCCAATTTTAAAATGCTTTAACATAGTCTTATTTAAAAACGCTATTCAAACATTGGGACTGTATTAAGTATTTACAAGAAAGTAAAATGCGCTACTTTGATACTCAGGTTAAAGCTTAGAACAATAAGAACGTGACGTGCCTAAATGTATAACTGAAAGTTTATAATTTTAATAATTTAGAATCTGAAAAGACAATATAGAAATGAATGGTTCATCTGAAGGGCTATAGGTGTAATGTTCAAAACTGTAAGGATCAGTTTTTAAATTAAAAATATGTATGGTCTGTCTATAGTTAAACATATTTTTTTGAAACAAGGTCATTTTAAACGTTGACAATTAATCAATTAATCAGTTTAAATGACATTTTTCAGTTGGAAGACTCATGCCTTAATTTGCCAAAATGTTATCATATGATTTTCCTTTTGTCTGGTTGTGTAGTAAAGTTGCAAGTAACTATTGGAGCAAACTTGCTATGGTTTTATGGTTTGGGGAATTCAATGACAGCCAAACAGACATTTGCTTTTTTACATTTTAGTGCAAGCAAGCTAAAATACTGCAAAGTACATGAACAAGGAAAGTTTGTCTTATTTTGATTAGAAATCGATGAATCATATTTTAACAGTGCCTTCCAGTGACGGGTTAAAAAGAATCTCAATTAAAAATATGTATGTTATCTAGTTTGTAAATCAATGAGATATCTGATATACCTATAACTCATACTGTAATAGCTATTTAACTATCTGCATGATTTTACAAACTAATTAGCAAAGACGGTTCTAGAATAATGTGTTATTTGTTGTCTATTGACTTATTTATATTACGTCAATAAAAAGAATATTTTAAGATTTTTAGAGCCTACTTTATATTGCGGAAGTATTTAACTGATTCAAACAAACTGAAATGTATCGGACCTCTTTTTCTTTCCATAATCCAACCACATCAATTATTATTTCAATAAAAATTGTATTCATTAATGTAACATCTGTAAGATCATTAAAAAATATTTGATTGAAATACACACCTATGTAGCTATTGCCAATGTTAATTTTGGTTTTGTGCAGACATGCCTGCATATATGTTTCTGGATGCTTTGCAATATTGGTTTAGAGAAATCGTCAAAATTAAATCATTAGTGTTGCCCGAGCAAAGTTGCCTATGTCTGATTAAACTTATACATGAAGCTACCGTCAATAATTTACAATATTGGCACTTGAATATGGTCTATAATATTGGTATAATTATTGTTTCCTCTCAATTTAATATTTCATTGAATAAAACTGGCTTTTTTAAATATAAATCTAGCAATCATCGGTCATATTCTCAGTCCTCCATGTCGTTCTTAGTTAATCCTGACCAACTTACAAAAATTCACTATGCCATCTGTTGATTCATTCTATACTTTTTGAACTAAACGAATGTTGATTAAGAACTTTTTTTTAATAAGTGAATGCATCTTGGTCACTTTCAAGTGTATATTACTTTTAATTAATTTTGAGGGCTTAACAAATACTTTTTATTCACATTATGTTGCACCATTGTTTTAGGTCCATCTTTGAAACTGTTTCATCCTAAGTTATTATCTAATTAGATTAAACAGCGCATACTGTTTAATACATCTTTGGAATGTTTTGAAAACAATTAAACGTAATATTGATGACATTAAAATGGTGTCTAGGCAGGTGCTCTATAGGAATATCTTTTTTTTTATTAGTATCATTTAGTTATAATCAGACAAATGTTGTATTATATGATGAAAATGCTACTATTGATAACATTTCTGATGACATCTCTACTACTGATAATGGTGTTTGCTTTGAAATCAAATTGGCATTATGTTAGTGATAAATTGGCGGATAAAGTGGCGGGCAAAAAGATAAAAGCCAATTTACAGTGACATCATGATGTTTTAAACGGTATGTGCAAAATACAATGAAGAAAAAACTTTGTTCACTGGACCATCTACAATTACAGCTATCAGGATTTATTTGAAAAAGAACAATAAAAGTATTTGATCAGCTTTTGACGAACGAACAAAGAAAATAGAAGTGCGTGTGATAAGAAGAAAAATACTGACATTAGTTCAGCTTTGTTTGGATATTAAAGTGGGTGTATTAGAGAAATTTCATGTTACAGAACAAAAGTTCAGAAGTCTTCTTCAAAAAGCCTTGAAGATTTCAAAGGAGATAGTCAAAAGATGAAGGGAAAGACGTTGTTTCCTTGAGCAAGATCTTTACACTCATTGCTTAGTACTAGTATGTTCAAGGGGTTCAATAAACTTCAAGCTTCCAACACAATGGCACTAAAATAATAAGTATAAATTGACTGTGAGCAAGTACGCAGACAGAAATTCAAAAGGAACAGTTTTTAAATTGAAAGGAAAAACAATTTCCATAGGAATCGGTTTCTAAAAGGAGAAGAGTTTGCTATTTCCTAAGTTAAAGGTAGTTCTATATGAAGAGAAAGTGACATGGCGTATTTTACTTATATACGGACGACTGATCAAATATAAACAGTGCGACGGAGATGAACTTTCCATATTTTCATGGAATTTCCATGTTCTTACTTATGATAAAAAAGTGAATAAAACTATTGCTTATATTATTATAAATCACGATATTTGTTTTATATGAATCATGGACAAATGTTCAAATTATTTTTCCTATTAATGGTTACGTCAGTTAAAACCTTTTACGAAAACATTTGAGGTAAGAATACGCAGATGCAGTAGAGAACATGTGTAAACAAAACCTTTTAATGATAAAATTTATCCATTTTGCTCATTAAAAAGAAAATAACAGACAAGCGTATAAGTTAACAGCTATAATCATATGCTTCAAAATAAAATAACTGTTCTGTTTCATTTCAAACATGAATAAAATAGTTCAATAAAGCTATGTTTGACTTGCACAATTTGTTCATAAAACTCGTTTTTTAATCTTAAGACTTTCTAAAGAACTTACTTTTATTTACACGAAATATGTTTTTTCTTCTTTTTTTCTTCTTTTCATTTAAAATATATTTTGGAAAGCAGACGTTTGCTTGGGGTAAAGCGCTTTTATTTATTTTAAAAAGTATTTTTTCGTGACATAATTTGTTCGACAGATATAGAGATGCTTTTAGCTTTTAGCTTATAATAATTTTATATTGCTTTTAAATAATGCACATTCAAGGCACCCGGCGCACTGTAGAAACCCGCAGTTAGTCATCATATATCTTTTGTTAAAGGACGAATAATAAACGTAGAAAAAACCCGCTAAACATCGCATGTTTCTTCTATGACGTCATGTATGTAATTCTTTAAAATTATAGAGGACACTTCCGTTATTTATGTTGATATCGCTAGAAACGCCGGACGCCGATATTGTTTACAACGTGAAAATGACGGACACGAAGAAATTAGAAAATCGCGCCATCATAAAATTTTGTTGTAATTTGGGAATGTCACCTGTAAAAACATTTTAAAAAATCAGCAGTCGAACAAAGAAAGTAATATTTTACGATGATACGTGTTTAAGTGGCATAAGAAATTTAGTGATGGACATTACTTTGAAAAGACGTAACGGTCATTGACTGCGTAACGTTGAAGCACAACTTGTACGTTATCATGACGTTGCCGTCAATAACTTTTTGGGGTGCGCCACTGTCGCCGATATGTGTTAATGTAAAATTAAATATTGTTGTTATATAAGAAGCTACTAACATGAACTTTTCTGTGTTTATTTGTTATTTATTCTTCTAAGCAGTGTAAGAATTTGAAATCAATATCTCAGATATATTTTACGCAACAAAGATATGTATCATACTAATGCTTTTTTCTTTAAGGCATATAAAATATGTCAGGGTGGGGGTCAGTATACTCTTGCGTAATAAACAGTAAAAGTCACCGCTAAATGTGGTATTATTTTTTTGCTGCACATATGTTTGTGTCCCATTAACAAATACAATCAAATTTCGCATAAACGTTGATACAAAATATCTCAGTATGAATATCAAGTAAAAACTTTCTGTATGATTAAGATACTGCATAATTAATTTAATTTACATTATAGAACACACACATAATAATATGGAAACACAATATATACAAGAAATTACAAATACATATCCATTGTACAAGAAATAAATCAGCTCTTTTTTTTAAATTGCATATATTTCTCTTCAGAAACCATATATATATATTTACAAATTAAGGAAAAATATACAATATGAGTGAGTATATTCCGCAGTCGTAGTTAAGTACATCTGTAGAGAAACCATATAGGAACGAGGCAACCGATTTCAGATAGCATGTAAAACCAGGAAATAGCTGAATACAAAATTTCCATATTTCGAATCAACGAATGCAGGTAACGTTGTCATAGTCAGTCATTCTACTTTAAAAAAATTCTCAGTCAAATTACATCCTGTTTTTTATGCAGGAACGTTTATTCACTTCAGCAAACATCGGTATAAATGTACCTGGAAAATGTAAAAGCAGTGCATCAATTATTACAACTTATTTGTTTAAGCAAAGAATGTATGCGATTTGAATGATTTCTCTAAGTTAGAAATATTTTACGTAACTTAAAAAATTAAATTGAAAAAGTTTGATAAAAAAAAGATAATAATATCAAAATTATAATGCATTCCACTAATTAAATGATTGCAAATATTCATTAGGTGTCTTGAGTTATTGTTTATTTTTGCGAAGAATTCAGCAGGCAGAATTCTAAATAATTTGACTTCTAAAATAACTTAATCCTTACGTCATCAATATATCCAACAAAACCACGCCCATGACAGCTGCCAATCATTATGCCGTTGTATCGAGTGTTGATATTACCTGTAACAAATTAAAGTATTAACCGCATGCATGTTCTTCATATCGTGAAATTAGTGCAGATGCATCAATTTTTGTACGCTTTTTGCTAGCTTTAGCAATTAAAGAAGATGGTGTTCGTAAATTTAACAAATGTGTGTGTATAAAAGATGTTCGTAAAACTGCTTATAAGCTGTCACTATTCAAATAACGTAAGCTGTATATTTTGCTTTTAAAGATTTTATATATTTAATATAAAACAAATAGAAAAAAACACAAATTGGTTTACAACTTTTTTTATATTAGTTGACAAAATAGAAGAAGAAGAAGAAGAAGTAGAAGAAGAAAACACACCTTGAAGTGGAGCAGTTTTTGTGCTTCCATCAACTTCAGCTGTCACAGTGCTTCCGTCATACATTAATTTTACATTTGTCCAGACTCCTTCCTATAAATAAAAAATAAAATCAATCAGGTTCTTTTCCATATCCGTCAAAACTTTTACAACGCACTACAATAAGACATTAGAAGTAACTTTCTGGCACATGGTGATTTACCGCAAATAGGTTTATGAAATCTCAATCAGTTTAAAAGCTAGAAGTATGATTTACAACAATAATTATATAGATTACCGAAGGTGAATCAGAACAACCACTTGGTGTTTGAAATTATTTTTTGTCCAATAGAATTGCAGTATTTTAAATGAATCGTAACACATTGACTTTGGTAAACTTATTGGACAAAAAATAATTTCAAACACTAAAATTCAAACACAGGGTGAATATACGTACATGTGTTAAAGGCTATTAAATTAATACTGTGATTAACCAAATAGTATGTCAGATATATAACTTACCGTGAAGGGTTGTCGAACCTCAGCTTGCTCAGTGATGCTTCCTACTCTTGATTCTATCCTGAATACAATTTCTTTTGTTTGTAGATCAAGAGCAATTTCAACAGAACCAAATCTTCCTCCGATACAATTGGATATTAACACCTGGAATAAAATGACTTGACTGTCAAACCAAGTGTCCCGTTTTGTTTGAAGAAAATGATATGTTTATCGAAGTTCAATTTCCATAAATTATCTTCCATTATTCACAACAGACAACACATTGTTTTTAATTAAATAATTTGGACGAATTATATATCCGCAACTAAAAGACAATTCCTATATTTTTATTTTCTTTGCATTGACATAGAAGGAAAATTAATAAATTAACAGAATTTTCTAAAATTTTGCATGATTAAAGAGAGTCATAATTGTAAAAAATAGAAGTCATTGCCCTACATATTTAGTTCTTAAAAATGGACACTTTAATGTCAAATTCTTGATATTATTAAGATGTGAAAATTTTGATAATTTTTTAATTGCAGATTTAATTCTATAATGTTTACACGAATTTATAGTTTTCTTCCAGATATGTCCCCTTTTTTGAAGAAAATAGCTGTAAGTTTCCTCATTGAAGCATAGAAAACTGTATATTGGATAGAAATGGTTGAAACTTTGCATAATGATTTATAATAAAATAAAAAAGTGATATTGGAAATAAAAGAAGATGCCAGTATAAATGGTTTTGGATCATCTGCTTTTGAAAATGACTTAGAGTAGTAAAAATCTCACTGTCAGCGGCAGTGTACCATGTTCCCAAATTTTTGCCACACATTTCTCTTAATTATATTTATTTCTTGTTACGTTTTAAATTGAATAAGCTAGTTTAATATTGTAGGTAACTATGGGAAATATTTTTTAAATACAAGATGAATGAATAATTAAATGCTTGACAGACATTAAAAATATTAAATATACAGAAATAAATATATCAAAATAGGTCACATGATACTGTTTATATGTTTTGCAAGGTCAGTTGTTATGTTTTATTGTCAACGGCAGGTGACAGCATCTGTCATAAATAACATTTTAACTTCGCCAACTGTTTTTTAAATGAATGAATGTATTATTTAGAAAAAACAAGTTAAACAGGACTGTTTTTTATGAATTTTATTAATCGGAGAGAAAAAATACCTGATCATTTGAAGCCCCACCAGTCGATTTATAGAATCGAAGTGTTACTGTAAGTTTTGTTCCAAAACTTTGTTTCGAATATTGAAAAGCTGCAAGAACACCTGTGCCGTCAAAACGACCAGCATTTTGGAAATTTACTACATTTCCGTTATTGCCGATAGAAATATGGTTTCCGCTGGAATCATCTATTGTATCACTATTAAAATCTATCAATAACTCAGGTCTGCAAACTAAAAAGAAAGACGTTCATTGAAATATTTTGCAGGACGCGCTTTTAAACATTTTTTACGCGTATAAAGACGAGAACAGATTATTTGTTTCGTAACTATGCAACACAGAATCCCGTTACAAAGTACAAAGCAATTGAAATAACGAATCGCCATTTATCATTTTATTGTGATAAAAATAGAATATAAGTACATGTACATGAGTAAATGACTCTCACGGTGTTACATTTCTTCTATATGGCATTTTTTATGTTGACATAATTTTACTTTTTTTGCATTTTAACAAATTAATTAAAACAATATAGATTTTTTTTTGGACGATTGAAGTAATCTATAATGTACAAGTTTCCAATTATACATGCCGTACATAACTAGTATATATAGTATTTAAAAGTACGTGTAGATTGGACCGTAAGAGACGTTAAAGAATAAATTCATAACGCACATGTACACACATGCACGGGTATTTCTGATGCCATTGCTAGGGAAAAATCAATGATTTATTAATGTTATTAACGTGCTTAAAATGTTATGAATAGATAAAAATCTATCTCTGATGATATGTAATTATATCTAAGAATATTTTTATGAAATACAGGGAAAAAGAATCTAGGGCTAAAGAAAGTCCAAAACAATAATATTGAAAATGTTGAACACCAGGTAGATATAATATCAGAAGGATTCGTTTAAGTTTAACTTAAAGCATCAGGATCATAAATATATAGGGAAGTTACATTTTTGAAAGCATAAACTTGAAATAGACAAAAGCAGAATCCCTAAAGAACGCCCAAAATGGCAAAATTGAAAATGTTGCATTTCGGTTTGATTGAGCCTGTTCATGGATGGCACTAGAAATTTCAAGCTACCGTCCATGCCTAATGTCGATTTTTTATATTTTGTGCAGAATATATTGAATAAGAGAAATAGAAATTTAATAAACAACACTTGGGAAGAAGATAATTACCAAAGACTTGTCTTAGATCTATATTATGACAAGCACAAGCTTCGGCACTGTAGAGTGTACCAGGAGGACATAATCGAGGCTGCCAGTCAAACCCAGGAATAAAGTGCTCATACATATGCTTCTCGTGATGTGGCCGCGACTGACAGGCTGAAGTAAGATGTACAATACAATACAATTAATTACTAGTATAATAATAATGATAATATAATATAATTTAACGAGATAACTCATTTGAATACCATATCAATCTTCCACGAGACCCTCAACAAGGAACAATATAAATTTAACACTTTCAAACTATTACATTACATAAATGTTAATACATACATGAGATTATCAATTTGTATACGTCGATGTGTGATAATATCTCAAGTATAAGGTTTTAAAAAGGGTCACAGATGTAGCAGTCTTGATATAATCAGGAAGGCCGTTCCGAATACAAGATACAGAATAAACAAAAGACTTACGAAATTGTGAAGTATTTGGTCTGTAAAGGTGTAAATTTGAATCAAATGATGAACGCAAAATGCTATTATGAACATCTGACGATAAATTGAAATTATTCAATAAACAGGAAGGCACCTAGCTGATTATTCGTTATCTTAAACATCATAATAGCTTTTGAAAAACAACTCTTTGTGAAAAGGTCATCCAGCGGAGCTCAGATACTAGTTCAGCAGATGGAGTGCCATAATCTTTGTCAGGAATTAGTTTTGGAACTTAATGAGTTTATCGTCTAGAAAAGACATACAATTACGGTAAATTATGCAACAATAGTCAAGATGTGATTAAATATATGCATTGTAATACATTTTACGTACATGTATAGATATGAATAATTTTATACAGATAATAAATATAACAATGTGTTGCATTTTTGAGTACATTATCAATATGACTTTGATAAGACAATATGTTATTAATTAAAATGCCCAAATAATTTTCTTCAGAGCTACAAACAAATTGCTATGTTTAATACGAAATACAAGGATTACTTTTATAAATATACAATATAGTTTTGATTGTGTTTTGAGGAAATATACAAAACCTTAGTTTTGTTAGCATTGAAAGAAATGCGATTCAAATCACACCATTTGCTGGCATTTAAAAGATCACGAGTAAGAGATTCAACTACTCTAATAAGGGATACATCAGAAGTTGAAAGGGTGGTGTCATCAGCAAAAGTATCAGTTTCTGTTTTTCCTAAGACAAAAGTAGGTCATTGATATAGATTAAAATAGTACAGGAACTAGCACTGAGTCCTGGGGAATTGCAGTAGTTACTAAAATTGACTCTGAATATAAAAGTATTATTACAGAAATGACAATAATTCAAAACCTGGTGAAAAAGAAAGGGGTCTTAATGTATGATGTTTAATGAGAGTTTGAGTTTTAAAACTATTACAATATACTTATGAGTAAGGAGTCACAGGTAAAACTAACAAAACGTTACGAAAAGTCGGATTTCCTGTCATTGTTTAAGACAACGAATTACTGAAATTCAAATGTAATTACATTAACCTTTGTTAAAAAATAGCATGACATAAAATTTTGAATAGTTTTGGAGAAAAATAATAAATTAGATCTATAAATGAAAAAACCAACACTTTATTTGATTTGGATTATTTCTCAATTAGAAGAACGACTTTTCAATAAATACAGTTGAGAGACATTGTATGATATTTATTTTAATAACAAACACATGTCCAATAAATGTGATGGTGCATAAAAAGTAAATGTCGCAAAATTATTTCATTTGTGATTTCTATTCTAAATCAACATATTTCTACCTTGATTTTAATAACTACATGGCAGTTTTATTTATCGTTGAACATTTAATATTAGGGGAGAATTTTAGCTTAAGAAATCTTGGCTAGTTACTAGGCGATCGTCTGCTGTACTCCACATTGGAGTTCAGGAATACTGTTGACACGAACAATGTATTCATTAACAGCAATCTCAGGGCCAATCATAACCAATGCGATGAACTTCTTAATCTATCGATGTCTTAAGAACAACACATGATTACTGTTTCTACAGGATTTCTTAGAAGCAGACGTCCAGGGCGCCAACAATTTTTCTGAACATTCTAAACATCAACGTCATGGAATCTCACCAAAATATTTCGACATAAATGTGATAGAAGCTTTAAGGGGTAAAATTAACCGCCTCATAAGAAGTTTTTGTGCAGTGCCAAAAACCATCGCAAACGAATATGCGAAATTGTCTAACAGTGAATAATTCTACCCTAATATTATGAAAAAGATTGGGACACATCCATGCTACAACGCTGCATAGCTGTAATAAACAATCAGGTTGGGCATGCGATATTAGAATAATTTTCAATGATATAAAACTTATCTTGCGGCATTGACCTTGAACGCAACGCACTATCACATTTATTGGGCATGTTTATTAAATTTGTGTTTCTTAAGAAATTTAATAAATGTAATATATCATGTCTCTTAACTGTATTTATTGAAAATTTCAGCATAACTGCACCAAAATTGACACACATATAAAACCATTTATGCATACACAATTATAATAATTGTTAAGTGTACATACAGCCTTAACATGTCAATGTTATGTTAGTATGGTTGATGTAAGTACATGTACTTTGTATTAATGTATTAATTACATCTGAGAAGGGTTGTCGTTAAAGCAGCAAGCCTCCACAGGACAACAAATTTTAAAACTAATTAGGCAAGTAATTACCATTCTCTTGATATAAACATTTTTCATTTTACGATCTGGCAGGGGTACCATGACCAGCTTTTCATTTTAATTCTTTTTAAATCATGGATAATGATTATTCTAAGATTATCAAGTCAATTTGTATTCCACATTAAACATCAAGCAACCGCTCCACCAACACACACGCACGCACATAGAGCACAACATAATGCTTACGGTTTTGTGTCGTTGTTAGCATGAACATTATTCCTGAACCAAAAGGGTTTATTTGACTAATGTCGAGTTGTCCTGTTCCTGCAAAGTCCATTTGTGCTATAAAAAGACCAATAAATGTTTTAACATACTCGAATGTCTTTAAATGTAGGCGAACTGTAACTTACTTATTCGCACAATGTTTAAAAATTAAAGAATTTAATCTATTTTTAAGAAAAAGAAACAACAAAAACAGTAACCCCCACCCCCAATAAAAACAAAAAAAAAACAACAAAAAACAACAACAACAACAAAAAAACGACGACAACAATAAGAAAAAGAGTTGAAGAAATGAGTATTTATTTAGAATCAGCCACTTTGCTTGCCTACTGAAGGCTGTTTATTTGAGCAAGTGTAAAAAGATATATATAAATGAATAAATATAAAACGGTACTTACATTGTCCCTTTGTGACAGCCAACAATGCAGACATTGTTAGAAACGTTAGCAGCCGAGTCATTTTAGCTGTACATGAAAGATCTTCAATTCAGACAGCACAAACCTGACCATCAAAAATTTGAAATTCATATCAACACTTGCCCAAAATTATTAAATACTAGTAGTTAACCTTCAATAAATCGTATACAATTAAGATAGTTTTGTAATCTTTGATTTTGATGAAGGCTAAATTCATTACATGTACTTTATTTTCTATTTTGACTTTGCACAACATGTATAATACCGAAATTTAAAGCATCTTTACTTATAATATACAACATATTAATATGATATTGTAATAATTATATACAACATATTGTTATAAAAAACAAATTTTGCATGATATCATTGACATTAAGTGACATATCCATATCCAGCAAATTGAATACACATTGCTTATTATAATAAAATGCATTTACAGCCTATTTAAATAAAAAAAATATTTAGTAAATAAGATGATATACATACATGTATAGTATACCAATACAAATCTAGAAAATACATTATACTTACGACTTACGTAGAATTCGTTTGTTTTTCTTTCTGTGCTCTCTCTGTGCTTCATAAAATGTTAATTTCAACCGCATGAATGCGTTATACATATAAATCATATTTAAAACCTACATTTGGAAAAATGGGGTTGTGCCAAGTCAAGATTTCTCTATATTTACACAAAAACATAGTAAATAAAAATTCACTTTCACAAAACGTGAATATATTATAGAATTGATTATTCTTTAAAAATGTAAATCATGCCCATAAAATGCTCGAGTGATGAATGTTATTGTTTTGTTCTTGTCACAAGCTTCATAGATAATGTCAACAATTAAAGTTAGACTCAGTTTAAATTAAAAAGAACGAGTAATAAAACATCAAGGACAGTTTTATGTCATGGTAAGTACAGTTACAGTAAAACAGTATAAACTGTGTTTCAGATGTCATAATATTATGATGTAAGGTTAAATTCAACTAAAATGACATAATTATTGGTCACACATACATGCCCACAATTTGACCTTTTTTTTAAAAAAGAAAATATGGTTTGTTAATGGTCATAATGATATGTCTTTTTGATAGCACAACTTTGGCAAAAGAATTTCAAATGTGGGTTACTTTCAACAGAAAATGCGCCGCATGATTATTACTTGAAAAATACAAACGTTTCCATGGTCGTGACATAGGTGCTGTAGATGCAAGAAACATCGCTAAGCAAATATTTATTGTGACTGGATCTCATTAACAGCTAGCTGTTCATACAATTCGCAAAAAAGTGCTAGATGGATTCCACATCTGCTAACAGATCAGCAAAACATTGCGCGTATTCGTTGCTTAACCCGTTTTCAAGTTATACTATTTTTACTTCCTTCAAACAATCGTTTTCCATAGACGCAAAATATCCACTTTTATTTTATAACATCATATATGACTTTGAATAAGAAGCATGATTTACTGCAAAATGGCACGATTTATTCTGCGAGTCCATAATAAAGATACAAGAATATGAAAAAATTCACATACATCAGGAACGAATTTTTATTATTTTGCTTTGTAGCAAAGCACTTTTTTTACATTTTCATCAAATGAAAAGACAATGTTTTACGTTTGCGAAAACCCTTACTTGTTTTAACTTTTCTAACTTTTTTGGCTACTTTATGTCTTATAAAACTCCGAATTTATATATTTTCCTTCAGTACCAGCAATTAGAATGGCAACACCTGCGATGTTGTGAGACAAACCGTAATACATATTGTCCTCTTTGAAATGCATGGTCCCCAGATTTTTTTACCAATATTTTGCTTTAAATCTTTCGATTTGGTTCAAAAAGTGAAGTCTTGTCTCGTCCACATTGTGACAGTTTCGAACGGCAGTTTATTCCAACACTCCATATTCACCAGACTTTCTCCATGCGACTTATATTTGTTAAACAAGATCAACGAGGGAGGGTAGCATTCAATTAACGCATCCCATAACACAACACATCAACACAGGACTACCGGCAAGACTAACGGTCGACAATGCGCCCAGCGCAAATACTTGGTATGTATACAATTTCCCTCATATAATACACAGACAAGAATAGAGGTTGGATCAAAACACTGTCTGAATTTTGCATATCTGTTGTAGATTTTTTTTATATTAAAAGATGTATTAACATGTGCTAAGATACATACATATTTGATCATTCCTCGTAGCCGTCTACCTAAGGGCAGAGGTAAATGATGTTTCTACCTTATGTTCTTGTTATCATTTTAAATAATTTATGGACATCATTTGTCATCAACATTAACTAACTACTAGTTCTCTGCGGTCTGAAGACCGCAAGGTATTTTGAGGCATGGAGGAGCACGTGACCTGTTTTCGGTACATGGAGGAGCATGTGATCTGTAAACCGGACATGATTGGTTAATTGACCTTTTTGAAAACCTAGCTAAAAACCGTTTGCCGGTACGTTACGGATTTACCTCTAAGGAATTAGTCAGAATTACACCTCATTACAACAAAAAACTATTACGTGATATTTCTAATTTTCTATAATTATTTTACCGTTTAAGGTGGAAAAACTTGAATGATGTGTTTGAAAATTATCAATGTTTTGTTTAATATCTATCTCAAATTTTACAAACAATAAATTGTTTACACTGAAAATCTACAAATCTAAAATATTCGTAGTGGCATCTGTCATACCAAATACAGATATGTTCTGCGTAAACTTATGTGTTTACTTTAATTTTTTCTTGCTCGGAATTATTCAGAAAGTGGTTTTTAATGATTTTCATGTTCGACCTTCTCCGGTCTCAGGTCTTCAACGGTCACAAGTCTTCTATATTGATCGATTATTGTCAACTATATTCCTGATACAAACGTTTATGTAAACACGCATCCACTTCAAAATTGTGGTGTACGGTAAAACGAGCGAACGACATTTCCGAGATAGAGCAGAAACGCCGATTTAAACGGATAATTGTAAGTGTTGTTATGTTTTTGTCTTGTTATTCATTTAAGTTGTATACTTTTTCGAAAAATGGAAAATGTAGTTCCGTGTAGGATTGATTTAAGGCTTCCAATGGTCTAAGCTGTAACAAAAAGAAAATTATATCAAGCCTGGGGAGAACTTTTCTTCCTTATGAAGCGAACAACGATTTGTAGAATATTGAACTTCCAAACCTAAATTTATTTAAAATGCCATACCCTTCTGATTTTAAAAAAAAAGTGTATTAGGAAAATATCAACACGTAATAAGAACTTGTCCTTCGTGCAACATAAATTACTCCTGAAGGATTTCTTACATTTGTAAATCGATAGTTTTTGAAAGTAGTGGAGCCAATTTAAATGAATAACAAGACAAAAACATAAACAACACTTCAATTATCCGTTTAAATCGGCCTTTCGCTCTATCTCTGAAATGCCGTTCGCTCGTTTTACCGTACACCACAATTTTGAAGTGGAGCGACAGTTTGCCGGGCGTGGTTTATTTATCCCCCGAAACAATGTTGAAAATAAATAAATGAAATATCTTTATATTATTAAGAATGTTCCCCGCAGGAAACCATGGTATATATGATACAATAATTGGAATTCTTGTGAATCTATGGCACAGAAATATGCATGTAATGGACATAACTTGTTCAGTAAATTTATCTGTGTTTTGACAATACATACTAACATGCAACAATCATTGAAATCTTGCAAAAGTAATCTTGCAGAGACCATTAAAATGCTTAAAAGGAGACATTACACTATCATTTAATCATTTGATTGGAGCAAAAACAAATCATGTATTTTGATATAACATTCATAGAAAATACAAACACAATCATTGAAATCGTTCAATTTCCAAAAATCAATTTCAGATTCCCTAAAAAGAGGAATTAACTCTCAATAATAAGATGATTTGCAGCAATAATCGAATTTATGCTGTTTTGATATAACAATACTTACATGCCTCATAAAAATCCTTCATAAGTTAAACTTTAAACTGTGCAAACCAAAAATGTCAAAGATTTGCTTCAAAAGGGGTTTAACTCTTATAAATAACAAGGTAGCCTTGGTGATAACTATATCCCCTGCTGAAGTAGAGCATTGGAATGGATAACAATTAGACCTCAAAATATGACAGAGAATAATAATCTATATGGAAAATGGGCAAGTACATTTCGCTATGCAGAGTGATGACCATTTGTGCCCAGATATTTTAAAAACTTTTCATTAGTTTAACGGACACAAAATGTGGACTTTTTTCATTTGACCATTACGCGGCCTTGAGCTTGGGGGTTGCGACCTGATTGTTGCGCTCAAGATTCACCTCCTGATCATTCATGGAAACTTTTTAAAACGTTTATTTAGTGTCAAAGTAGAGGAGCAAACACATAGCATTATAGTTGGACAGAACGAGGCCATTCCTAAGCGGCAGGGGATAAATAAGTTGATTGTTGCGAAAATCGAACTTATCCTAGGCCTGTGAACGGACTGAAACATTTGACCGATGAGCAGGAGATATTGAACCCACGAGACATTTGAATATTCAATGACAAAAAATTGACATGTGCTCTTTTGTTAACAAATATGTTGTGGTGAAACTCTTTTTGTATTCATTAATCTGATAATTAGAATAAGGCAGGTCAGGGATCTATGCATTATCGGATTCCTAAGTAAACCATACGGACTTTTAATAACCTATGATACAACGGTAAATGTAGAAATTAAAACAAGAGCTGTCACGCAAGTGACGAATGCCCCCGAAAGGGTTTCTTAAGCATACAGGCATTATGAAAATAAAAGCGAATGTAAGTAACCAATTGTTTAACCCATTACTTCATGAGCATTTTGTGAAAATGGTTGTTTTCATTGAAAAGTCTCCCGTTACAAGTTCAAATTGCTATCATACTATAAAAACTACTTCAACACTAATCAAACTTGGCACAAATGTTGACTGGACCATTGCCCTTAAAACACATGCTCACGCTCAAATTTTCTGTTACCATGGCAACGAGGGGACATCTCAAAATTGCAAAAAAAATCACTAGTTTGCGTTGATTTTTTCCATCAAAATTGATTTCAAAGTGCTGCAACTTCAATCTGGGGTCATTTATAGCCTCTCACAAGTCCAAAATTTTCTTGGCGATGAGGGGGACACCGCCCCCTTACCCCCCCCCCCCAAACAGAAGGGGACCCATCCCCCTTCTGGCATCCCCCTGATGTATCTTTTGGTTGGGGGACCGCGCCGGAAAAGTGGTCACTTTTTTTAACAACATCTCTCAAACAAAAACAAGTGTTGGAGCCTAAATGAGGCATTTTTTTCACCATTTGAGACGACAAAAATAGGGGGGGGGGTGAAAAAGGTGTTTAAAGGCGTGTATATCGCGTAATGGGTTAATATTGTTCTTGTGAAATGAAGTGCTATTTATAGCAAACTTAACATCTTGGGACAAGGGTCTTGGATGAAACACATCATCTTGATGCGGTAGACATTTATGCCAAGTTTTAAAATCCTTCAATGCATGACAGTGTTACAGTTTTGAAACTAATGTGTACCTTCAAACTCTTCTAATAAGCATAAGAACCTTCAAACTTATTAGAGTGACCTTGACCTTGGAGGTAGGAACACGGGTCTTATACACAACACGTGCAAAGTTATTTTAAAATCCTTCCATGCATGACAAAGTTATATTCCGGACACGAATGTGCGTACCTAAAATCTCTAATTGTGATAGCGTGAAGCTTCAAAATATAAGAGTGACCTTGACCTTTGAAAAGGGACATGGTTCTTGGACGCAAAACATCATTGTCATGTGATAGACATTTGTGCCAAGTCATTCTAAAATCCTTCGATGCATGACAAAGTTACAGTCCGGACACAAATGTGTGTACCTATAAACTCTTATTGTGATAAAGTGAAACTTAAAAATGTTAGTGTGACCTTGACATTTGAAGCAGGGACGTGATTCTTGGGCGCAACACATCGTCTTGATGTTGTAGACATTTATGCCAAGTTATTCCAAAATACTTTGGTGCATGACAAAGTTACAGTCCGGTCATATTGTATGTGAAACTTCAAAATGGTGGTGTGACCTTGATCTTTGAGGTAGGGATGTAATTCTTGGACACGACACATCTTCTTGGTGTGGTAGACACTTATGCTTAGTTATTTTAAAATATTTCGATGTCCGGACACGAATGTGTGTACCTATTAACTCAGTGTGATCGTGTGAAACTTCAAAATGTAAGTGTGACCTTAACCTTTAAAGTTGGGACAAGGTTCTTGAACGCGTCACATCGTCTTGATGTGGTAGACATTTGTGCCAAACGATTTCAAAATCCCCCCGCGTATGACAAAGTTACAGGCCGGACACGAATGAAGTGGGGACGCCCACAGACAGACGGACGGTGCGTAAATTATGGAAACTAAACCTCCCGAAAGTTTACGAGTTGCCACATGCCGAATATAAATAAACTCAATAATTTAAATCTTTCAAACCTTAATGCCAACAGAGTACTCTTTTCTAACGTTGGTCAGTAAATTTTGCACACACTGAATGTTTCATTCAATTAAGGATGTGCACTCTGCTGAATACAAGTATGCACTTATCTGCACTTTTGTTTCCAATATTTGATTTTCTTTAGACCGGGCGGTCAAGGATAACCTACGAACGTGCAAGCATTTATTTCCAGTAGGGTCCTTACCTCAGCAGACACTGGAGACGGCTATGAGATACAAGGAAATCCAGTAACCAGTCTCTAGCTCTTATTAAATATATTCCTTGGTTCTTTTACATGCCCAGTGTATAGCACTGAGGATTACCTGGGTTTCGTACCAGTAACCCTCTATTTAGGTGGGAAACACTGAAAGTGTTTCTGAAAAATAAATACCTTCATAAAGACATCTAACAGACTTACTCCAGAATTAAGAATATCTTGGATTTTCCAAGACCCCCGGGTACAAACTTTTATAGTTACAGCTTCGAACCAGTAACCCTCTTTTTAGGTGGGAAACACTGAAAGCGTTTCTGAAAAATAAATACCTTCATAAAGACATCTAACAGTCTTACTCCAGAATTAAGAATATCTTGGATTTTCCAAGACCCCCTGGGTACAAACTTTTATAGTTACAGCTTCGAAAATAAGTGCAACTGGTTTACTTATCTATTGTTTAAGTTAGTGCCAGAACTGAAGTTTGTACGACAAGCTTGTAAAACCCCAACATTTGCCGAGACTTTTTGTTTTTATACATGAACTTGTATAGGCAGTTGAGCCCTGAATAAGCAAGACCAAGGAGGCTTCCATCCTGGCATTCAAATAACTTGTCCAATTACCAAATCAATTGTGTTAAATGTGTTTCCATATCAATTTGTAAACTCTGCAACACCAGAGACCTACATAACAGCTCTGTGGTAAAACTAACTTCAGACATTTACATCCAATTTATAACATCCAATTCAAAAGGATCATTTGGCAATAAATACGAAACAACAAGTTTTTCAGGATTTTATCATTTATTTTTTCTTTTTAAGACATTCGCTCCATTTTAAAATGCAGGAGTTTATGCTATCTCTTGGTTTTTAAGTTAAAATCATTTGACTCTCAACTTTCAACTATGGTAGTTTCCTCGTTTCAAAATATGACACATGATTGGCAAAATAATTATATGTCACATGACAGAAGATTCAACTGTCATATGAATGTCACGTGATCTCACATAGGTCACATGATATCTAAATATAAGACACATTTATAATATAAATGTAAGTGCTGGCCTACTATATGCTCAACAATGTCAAAAAGTATTCTTTGACAACAACTTTCAGTATAAAAACGTCCCCACCTCTTCACAATATTGCAACAACTACCCCTCCTATATATTCTCCCTCAAAATACATAAATTGAAACATAAATGTAGCAATGCAAATAACAGTCACACATTCCATCTCATTCCTCGTTTATAACAAATGTCATTGGATCAAACTATGATACAATGAACTCAAAGAGGAAAAAATGATGCTTCAGGAAGAAAAACAATGTGAAAGAAAGAAGAATAATGCAAAAGATTTCAGGACAAACACTGTTAAGATTGGGAAACCTTCATATTCAATATCAAAGTCAACCAAAGAACTCTAAATGACATGATGAAAGTCGACCTATCTCATTAACGTCTGTTAGCAAGTTAACCTGGAAATAAATGCTTATGTTTGAGGCGATTTTTTGTGACGTAAAGACAAGGCAGTTTTGCCTACATTTAAGGTTCTGTTTACATATATTGCATAAATCTGTAAAACATGTTTTTCTTGTGTAAAAAATACAGAAGTCTTATGATTCATTTGAAAATAAAAATAAAACCCAACATACCAAATGTTGTTTTCATGCAAATTATGAAGAAATGTTGTTTTTTATTCAGTAAATATGGAATGCATTTCACTTCAAAGAATTTTTTATTATTTTCACTTGCGCCTTTGAGCTCTTGAAAATATTTTAATAGTCCCACTCGAAAGTGATATATATACTCCATATTTACTAAAAAAACACCCTGAATATTTTCTATATATGTCAATCTACTTCTTATTCATTACATTTTTTTTTACTCACCTCTGTAATAAATTCATAATCAAAATAATAAGAAAATGTGTACATTGTTTCACTTATAACTTCCCTTAGTTTATCATTATCAAATATTTGTACAACAAACAATACATTTTCCTTCGTATGTAAAAATTATAAATGAAATCTATTTAAAAGTGGAAAATGACGAAAAGATAACTTGCTTTACTTATTTCTGACTTATCTATGATTTTACCTGGTTTATTCTTTATTAGTAGATGTTCAGATATTTTAGTGTCAATTAACCACTGTTACACTAAATTTATATATAATTATCTATTTAAAGCTATCAGTCTGATGTATTAAATACAAAAGTTGAGAGTAGATACCAACAGGATAGTGTAGTCAGACTAGAACTGTTATGACTAGCCTTGTGACTTGCTCTATACTGTTAATAAAAGACCTGCAGTTATAACTGGTAAGTGTACAGAACCTTAACAAAGTGTTAATTATTAACATTTAATGCTGAGATGAACACATTCACACCTCATTATCACATTTTTGCAGGTACTTGTAGTGACAAGTAAAAGTATGTCCAAAAATCTCATACAAAAATTTACGAAAAAGACAAAAACATCCATTATTGATGATTCCCTTTTAATCAATCTTAGATTATGAAAGTTTTATTTTTTTCTTTATTACATTTGAAATTAGAGCTCAAATGATTGGTCCTAACAACTTGATGCACAATATTAAATCTTATCAAGAACAACCATATTTTAACATTTAAATATCTAATGTAATTAACAATTAGTTTCTAAATAATTGAATGCAGGGTAACTGTAACTTTATTTAAAACATGATATATAATCACAGTTTAATATTAACTACAGTAACCTTTTGAAACTTCATGGTACACAAAATATTGGACACCTTTTACCCATCACTACCATTTAACAAAGAAAAGGAAACAAGACAAAAAATAATCCTCACTTGACAATCTATGAGGAAAGTAAACAATGAGATTTCTGTAAAAGATCAGAGGTATCACCTATACATTCTAATTGTTACCATGGCAATATGACTGTATTTAAAGTATTCATTTAGAACATAGTAATTTCAAATATTGAGTTTTTAGCTTATCAAGCACAAAACCCTGACAATTTGACATCATTTTTTTTTCTTTACAACAAAACATTTAATTATTTCAACAATTGATAAACTCTGTACTTTGCAAACAAGTTGATGAGGAAAAAATAAAAACAAAGACAATTTTACACAACCTCCTATAAAGTTAAGTTAGCACTCTATATTTTTTAACAGGGAAGGAATACAGGTATAGGTTAAAGTTGCCTTATAAATTATATAATAAGAACATTTCTATTCAAATTTCCAGATATAAATCTGGTTTTCAAATAAACACTTTCACACATTACAGTAATGAAATATTTTTGACATTTCTTTTGGTTCATTCTTTTTGTAATTTGTATGTTTGTAACAACACAGTCGCTTGGCAACAATGTCCAATTCTCTGTGTCAGATAATAATGTTATGAAGGATGGACAGTAAGAGAAAAGAGAAAGAAAGATCGGGTCAAATGTCATCAAACACACACATGTATTCTCTTCATCATTTTCTCAGGTGCTGAACTATGAAATGTTCGGGCCTCACGTGCAGGGCACTCGTCAGTGCAGCTGCAGTCAATCCTGCAAAAAATAAAATAATAAATTACCCATAAAAATTTGTTTCTTACAATAACTAGCCATTATGATAATAACTGTTCGTGGGGTTTTATTTTTTTCAGAACTTAAAAAAACACAACAACCTTTTGAACGAATTATTTTACAGCCCTTTACACTTTATCTAAGGTACTACTCAGAAAATAAAAGTGGTAGGATTGCCACTAACATATCTGCATGTGGCATGTTTTTTTTTTGTTTTTTTAAATCTGCATATTGATGTTTTTTTAATTTATATTTTGAGTGTTTACAGTTTGACATTTACACAAACAATTGCATTCACTTGCTTTTATAATGCTGCATTAAGCAATAGATGCATTCTTTTTATTTACATGCATCTACTTGAGACAACTTTAATATATAAGCCTCTGCTTGTAGATTCAGAACCAAACATTGAAACCCCTGTATCTTCCTGGATACCCATTGTTTGGAATGGTCATAAGGAAACCAGCCGTATGGGGAACGTAGTTTTTTTTTTTTGCTAAAGAATGAATACTATATGGGATTCACATCTCATCATGCAGTGCCATTATCATTCACTTCATGCTTATATACATTTACATGCTGTCTTTCTAGAATTAGTATTGTAAGAGCAGCAAACAAGTAAACAATACTCTTTTATGCTGCCATACAAGTACACAATACTATTTTATGCTGCCATACAAGTACACAATACTCTTTTATGCTGCCATACAAGTATACAATACTCTTTTATGCTGCCATACAAGAACACAATACTCTTTTATGCTGCCATACAAGAACACAATACTCTTTTATGCTGCCATACAAGTATACAATACTCCTTTATGCTGTCATGTTTGAAGAAGTTTTTACAGCAAACTATGACAGTTTTTATATCAGTTTCTCCTACATATACAACACTGAGCTTATATTCAAATTTCTGCAAAGGTCTAATTAACAACTTGGTCTAACAAATGCTCCTGTAGTTATTGCTACCAGGATTCAGATTAAATTAACCTTTAACTGACAAGCCTTCACTCCCAAAGATTGACAATATTTGCCTGATTTCTTCCAATATTATAAACCAGGAACATGGTGATCCCTTAAAACAAATCACATGTTTTCTAACATGCTACAAAATACTTAAGTAACACATACAAACAGTATTCAATCAAATATCATATAATAGAACTTTTTTAGATTTTAAATTACAACATGTCCGAAGAATAATACTGACAGAAATATATAAGGATAAAATACAGATTTTAGTCAAACATTTACAGAAAAAAGTGTATTACAGTAAAATTGAACATTCCAGTAACATTCCAATCATCTTTTTAGGAATAGGTACTCCAGTTGTTTGTTTTTTTTACCTTTACACTTCTAGAACCAAAAGTGATAAGCCTTTGCCTCCAGTAGAGCCAAATAGTTTTCCATGCAGTCTGACCAGGAACTAAACTGCTGACTGGCAAACTTAAAAGTTTTAATCTTGATATCTTCAAATTGATAATGGACATGTTTAAGGAATTCAACAGGTTAAGGGTTACGGTAATAATCTGGTTCAAAAGTAGACCCAACAAAGTCATTACTTAGCAATAAAGGGAATCTTCAAAGGGACAAGGCTAAATTTTGTCTGTATCTTACTACAGTCTTTGTATGTCATGTATCCTGGAACTGTGATAAGCTTAACAGTCTCGGTAGGATCATATATCAATTAATCAACATATTTCACTGTGATTTAACAGATAGTCTTAGTTGGAAAATATACAGTCTTAATCATAGATATTTCACTGTTTTATTTTAAGTGGTACTAACACAGCATAGATCATACGGCGACTTTCCAGCTTTACTAGTGGAGGAAGACCTCAGGTGTCCTTCCTTGCATTATTTCAGAGAAGGACTGGTACCTAAGTAGAATCACAGATGTTCTGTAAGCTAGCTGGAAAGCTTCCTCACATGAAAGAATCCAAAGTTCTGACTGGATTTGAACCCATGGCAGTGAGAGGCATGTGGTCTGAAGTCAAGGACCTTAACCATTAGGCCATGGACGCGCCTTTGAACAGAATATAGTTTTAATCATAAATATTTCTCTGTGATCAACAGAACTCTTGGTGGATGTTTAAAGATAATTTTTTCACTTTATTTCCTTTGGTTTAATATCACAGACAGACAGAAATTTTTCATGGTGGTAACAACAAAAGCTGAGTACTTTCAATTCATATGCTCAAAATTCATAAATGACAGTTCTAAGAAAAATGGAAGCTAGACAAGTCAATTCAAGAAAAGTATTTTAGAATAAAAACTAAACTTATTTACATGGACTTTCACTGAAACTAAAGTACAATAACATTGAATTCCAAACTAGCAGGAAACGGCAACTGATATGTGAGAAATTATCGAATGTGAATTTGTGCTTTTGGTTGTACGAGATACAACAGTTGGAGAAAAACTATACATGCCTTTCTCAAAAATAAAATAATGATGAAATAAAAAATATAGCTGGCAACTAATTAAAAACTTTAGATTATAATGCTGCGGCTGCATCTTTATATACACAAAACTAAATGGTAAGCATTTCAATACTAACTAACAGAAACTAGTTAAGTCTTCACAGACAAGCTTTTTTTATATCTTTACTTGCCGTATTTGTTATTTGTTATGTAAATGTTTTTCTTCTAATTTGCAATGAATAATTATTGTATTAGCTTTTATGCATCTATTGATCTAATAGACTGCTAAAGATAAGCTTTGAGAACATATTCAAGCCAAGCTCAGGGACAGGAGGTGAAGTATGGAAGCTGGGTGGGAACAGTACATTAATACTGGTTTGGACCAGGAGGTACATAGGAGCCCTACCTCATGCTTTCTTCAGTTACATTTCTGTTATACCATGATAATAACAATATTTAGATTAATATCTCATGCAATTAAACTAGATACATGACATTCGTTTATCATACATAATTGTTAGGAATTAATTTTTTGGTTTCACGTCCTGTATAGAACAATGTGGAGCTATATCTGTTGTCACTTATGGCGAAAAAGTTAGGGCATCCTTTTTTAACTGTATCTTTCAGATATAAGGTATGTTAACTGTCAAATTTTCTGATTTCAGGAAACATGGTATTAATATGTTGTTGAAAACACATCTCTAAGATTATAAACCCCCCTATCCTCCCCCATCCCAACACTGAAAACCTGTATTGTGCTCCAACATGCAATACTCGGCCACTGTTAATTGATCTTTTAGAAATTTATAAATACCCTGTGGCTCAGAAATGCAAAATGCTAGAATAATCTCCATAGCACTACAACTGCATATACTGTTTGTCAGCTGTACACGTATACAATATTTAACAACATTGTACAGAATTTTTTTTAATTTCAAAGTGTTCCCCGGCTATAATTTATATATAACACGTCACTTATTGTATTATACAACTAAAACTTTAGCTATGCATATAAACAAGCATTATATATATAATTATGCGCAACATATGTGTAACATAACTTAAGAAAACTCTGACAACATAGAACTTTGACTATTATCAATATGCATGGTAGAATAATGTTACTGGAATATTCAACTAGGAACTTTGAACAATGTAAACAATCTTAAATTAACCAACAGTCTATGTGTATTACAGTTAGTATGAGGAGACATGATTCTGAATTAACCAACAGGAAAAATACAGTCTAAAATTCTTCTGATTAATTGTACTAGCATCTGTGAAGTGTTTTAGCCATTTTGTTTTGTTTTTCTTAACCCCCCCCCCCCCACAAAAAAACCCCAGTGTTTTATCCATTTTGTTTTGTTTTTCTTACCCCCCCCCCCCCACAAAAAAACCCCTGTGTTTTATCCATTATGTTTTGTTTTTCTTAACCCCCCCCCCACACACACACAAAAAAACCCCAGTGTTTTATCCATTTTGTTTTGTTTTTCTTAAACTCTAGCCCCCCCCCCCCCACATAAATTATTTTCCCTTTTTTTCAGTCAATTTGTAATCCAAAATATCTTAAATATACTTATCCATCTTTCAATCTGGACAAAACCATTTATCATTTTCAAAGGAAATTTCATAACAAGTTCTGACTGAGTAATGAACAGAGCTGTCCCTGATCAGATGACACTGCTGGCTGATCTTTGTCTGCATGGGTAAAATTTGTCGTCACCAGCAAAATGCATTATTATTTTGTGGAATCTGTAAAAATTTCAATTTGAGACCATAGCTATCAGCTTTTTTTTGTATGCCTTTTATGAAAATTAAAGGGGGAAAAGCAAAGCTTTGCATAAATATAGAATAAGTTGGCAAACAAATAAATAAAACACAAGATTCTTTTTGTCAAAAACAAATTACTGCTAATTTTTATCCTTGATCTTGTGTCAAGTCACATCTAACCATGCAGAACTTGATAATCTCTAACCACTTTCTAGTACAACTAAATGCTTTATAGCATTATTATGTAAATATAAAATTAAATAATTTTATTGTACAAAGACAACTAGAACAGGTTTTTCACAAAGTCATATCTCCCCTGGTAATTGTGTTACGAAACAAAGACTGTTGCCTACTTACATGTTGTTTGTTTTGTTTCGAGAGTTTTAACGATTTAGTGTATTTACTGCGAGGGTTGGTAGTTCTGCACGTGCTGGCCCCCATGATGCTGGACTGGCAATAGAAACAAACAAACTCAACTCATGCAATGTAAATAACGCAGGTTGTTTGTAAAAAATCAAAAAAAATTCAGGCAAGCTGTCGGTAGGCTTCAAAAATATATAACAAAATTACTCAAGCTTCTCTTATAACACAGATATCAAACAAACTTGAAAATCTCAGTCCAATAAAAAAATTCTCTTAAAAAATAATAAAACTTTACACAAAAATGATCCCAATCATACCTTTTATGGGAATTGTACAAACAGATCCATTCTTTGCTTGCAACATTTATGTTTTCATGTGACATGAAAAATAAATCGATTAAAAAACAATTTTGCAATACTGAAGACGGACACTCTTTTATGGCCACTGACAGACAGCAAGAAAAATAACAATCGGTTCTGTGAATGAACTACATACAAGATCAATTAGGCAATTCCTTTTTTCGACTTGGTGACTTTGATCTCAAAGCGCCTACACACCAACTACATACCATCTTAATAGAATATATATTTTATCTTAAGTATCAAGTCACAATCACGCTAAAAAATGGGAAATTTTTTCTTTCTTTTAGAAAGGGCTAGCATGTGATTATACAATTTTAATAATGGACATGTTCCACAAGTATCACCTTCAACAAGAAGTGCTAATAGGTAATAATTTGTTATAAAGGTAGCGAAATGTTATTCAAGTGGTATTTTTCATGTATTTCAAACAAAAATGTTATTGTCAGATATTATGTGTAAGAATTACCTATAATTTATCAAGTGATATAACTGTGTGGTGACATTGCCGAATGAACAACGTGTCTGACTAGTAAACTAAGGATTTGAGAAAAACAACAAGTATATAATAATTTTCTTGAAAAAAAAAAGAAAAATCAAAGATAAAGTATCCAAGCTTTTTAATTTACAAAATCACAAGTATATTTGAAGCACAGCCAATTACACAACATCACCTTTGAAACTGACCAATATAGCAGTACTTACTGAGGATTATTTACCTACAACCATTATATTTTTCTAATACAATGTATAATACAACAATGCCCAGAAAACCTGTAGGAAGCATTTATCAAAGTGCAAATGAAGCTTGAGTAATTTTGTCACAATACAGAAACCTTGCTTTATTATTTCATACATGCAAAGGGGGCTTACATGATTTTTGGAAAAATAACTGGTGTTCTTATATTGCATTGTGGGAAAAAAGAAATATTATAAATACTTGTTCAATCAAACTCAAATATCTCTAAACAAAATAATGTCTTCCTTAACAAACAGAAACACATTTGCATTTGTAAAGAACAAAAAAAAAAGATTATTATCACAAATCATTTTTTTTTACATTACATTTTGAGCTTTAACTTTTCTGCCTCGACAAGATAAAATATATACAATAATGCCATGCAATAATAGGCTACCGGTCAAATGTATTTTTACTGTCCACTCTGTATATAATAAATCATTATGCAACAATATGATCTAAAATAGATTCTGCTTTCTATCTCATCTAACTAGACTTTGATGTTTTCTTCTTTTATAAACACAGCTGTATCTACAGTAGGAGCATTTAGTTCAACAGCACACAGAAGATTGTAGATTATTTAAATCACCCTTGAGTCTGCTTCCTGGAGCTAACCAGTACTTGTGTCAATGAGTCAATCCTATAATCCTTGAATTTTGAGAAAACATCTTTACTTTTAGATAACCACTTCCTTTTAGTAGGAGGTTACCAGGAGGTATATTTAAAATGCAGAATGCAGATACCTTGACAGCTTCAGTTAACTAACAGACCACGTTTACTTTTGCCAATTATCACCCTAATTATCATTACTTTGCCAATTATCACCCTAATTATCATTTACTTTTACTATATCGTTCCGCACTTTCAAAACCTTACTTTTCCTCATCGTCCATTTTACTCTTTTGGTGACCAACAACAAAAATATTATTTCAGTAACTAAATTTTGAATCAATATATGTATATAATACTTGTATGTAATTAAAGCATTTTCACAGCTAATAAATTCAACTCATATCATGTAGTGTTAATACTCATGCATGAAAGCTCAGCAAAAATAAGCAGTTAGCTTGGACTGGAATTAACATGTTGGCATGCCTGATTTGTGGTTATCAAATAAGAACCGTTGAACTGATTTTGATGGCAATAATTGAAATGGCAAGCATTATGTATTCAATACTCTATATCTGTACATATATCTTAAGCTGAGATAAAACAATAAATGTGTTGGTGCTTAAGCTAAAAAAACCCCTTTCATTTTAATGCGTTATTTATGCATTCATTTTTCTCCCGATAATGGAAATTTTTCTGTTTTTTTTTGTAAAATCACTGTTGGAGAACAATTTTAAGAAAAAATCTCAAATAATCATGTTATAAAAGAAACTGTTCTTTTTTCCATTGTTATAATACTCATAATGAAAAAGTAATCAATATCAACATAGAACAGGGAACATAGTTATTATACTGGTTAACCAGTCTCAACTTCAGCATCTGATTGGTTGATTTTCACCACATTTTGAAATAGACCAATGAAAAGACTCCATTGTTGAGACTGGTTCACACAATCAAGTGTTCAAAACCCTTGTACCAGGTTCACAAACAATGAACAATGCAGTTTTGTTGTGTTGATTAGCTAGGATTGTAATGCAGGCTTAGAACATGAGCATAGGAATATTGATGGCTTACCCTGTGGGATAAAATGCTGCATCTGATGATGGGAACCCTGTCCCCCAGTCTGACCAGTAAGATTCTGTACACCAGATTGTGACATCAACTGTTGTTGCATGTTGGCTATTTTGAGAGAAACAACAAAAGAAATACATATGTTTTTTTTATACCATTTACACAATCTTATTCATTCAAAGTCATTTTCAAACACTGCAGCCTTTTTGCTACATACTGCCCTGACATTTTGTAAATGTTACATATACCATGGGATTATTGGTAAAGAACAATAAAACATCAACATCACGAGTAGCTCAAAGCTTCTGCAACCTTTAGATTATAGTGAAATTTTACATGTATTTTTAGGATATTGAGGGTAATTTTACTTCTAATAATATAGAGGCATTCACCAGGAATACAGCATTTAAACAAATTCAAGATAATTCCAAGTACCGGAATATTCTATATAAATCTCAAGTTTAAAGAGTCACTTTTAATGTATATGGAATTTTTATTCAACTGTAACAACAAATGTTTAAAGCAACTATGTACCTGTAATTTTAAAGCATTTCAAGCTTATTTGCTTTCCTCATTGTAATTTTTATAACCTAAACACCTTTGAAATATGCCAAAAAGAAAACCTTATTGGTTTATGTAAATAAGACATAATACACGATAATTTGAAAACTGTACATACCAGCCATATGGTGTCCCTGGAATTGTGAATTATGTAAAGGGTGTGGAGTTAATCCTGGAGCAGGTGGCATCATAACAATCTGGTGTTGCATATTAGGTGACTGGTGCGGGTGTGGCTGTAAACTGTACGTTACTGAAGTGGGCACCGATGACTGATGCGGGACGGAGAATTGCTGACCACCTGCTGAGCCCTGCATCTGCATTGGGTGCCCGTGAGACGTGTACTGTTGGAAGTGCATCTGCTGCATGGTTTGAGGGGACGTTGGATTGTGGGGACTTGGTTGTAATGGGGGATGACCTTGTAGTGGGTTTTGTGGGTAGCCTCCCTGATGAGGCTGGGGCGTGCCTGATGGCGGGGGATGCTGACCAGGATTCATCGTCGGTTGAGTGGGGTTTGTGTGAACCGGACTAGGTGCTGGATGATGTTGACCGGAGGCACCCGAAGGGGGAGGGGGGTTCATTTGTGAGTTGTGTTGGGGCTGCTGGGAGTTAGGATTTGACATTATGATGTGGTTTGGTTGATTAAAATGTGATTGATGTGATATATGAGCTGGCATGGGCACCTGTTGATTTGGCGTTGTCACTGAAACAAAATCAAAATTACCATATTGTATTGTACTGTACAAAAAACAAAACAAACACAAAAATCCTCATAACGATCTGTCAATTTAACACCTAAGAGTCCTTTTAAGCAATTAAGGAATTTACCAAACAGTGAAAACTAATCATTATGCTAAAATAAAGACCTTACAAGCCATTAGGATACCAAATAACAGAAATTGTCTTTTCTATGCAAAAAAGTTTGAACTTACTATAGACTTGTGAAGCCTGATGTGCTGGGTTACTCTGCTCCATTCCATGCTGCATACTTGAAGGCTGAACTCCCTGACCCGAAGTTGGTGTCATAAATCTCTGACCTCCAGATGGATTGGCTGCTGGCATTGGCATGACCTGCTTGGTGAAGAAACAAAACAAAATCTACTGTATTTAAGCTCTACTTAATTAAAGGGCATACATGGAGCATTTTTTATGCAGGGATCAAAAACTCCACTTGTATTTATGAGTAGACATCGGTCCTAGACAAGTACAAAATCATTGTATGCTCGTCAGGCAGGACGAGTGGAAAGTTGTCAATGTAAAAGAAAGCTAGAATTCTCAAAATCAGTTTACTTACATTGTTATGATTTTACGATAGGGAATGTGCCTGACAATACCCTATAAAGTGCGCAATTTATACATGACCTAAAACACAAGCTTGTGTGCAGTTTTGGTTTGTTAAATTTATGTAAACAAACCGATAATGAGAATTTTTAGCCATCTCTTGCATACGTGAGTTTTTTTTGCATTGGCGAAGTTTACCTTGAAAATCAAGTCAAAAATGAAGGACAAGAAGCAAAGCATGCAGGACAAGTAGAAATTTGAAGCTTCTCGTCCTGCCGGACTAGTGGCTCTGAAAAGAATTTTCAAATATGTTTCAGAAATGACAAAATTCTGCCTATTCATGTTAATTAGCTTTTTTTTTTCAATACTGTAACACATCTTAATAAAGTCAAATGAAATCCAAAACAAGAGCAATGTAAGCAGCAATAATGATTTTCTGTTAAAATAGCCACTTTGACAAAATATGGCTGCAGAATTATGCCCCTGGTCTAGCAACTGCCTCTTGTCATGATAGGTAAGGATTCTAAGTTTCATATTCATACTGATATCTTCATAATCATTTAATGGCCTAAAATGAAGTTTTTGTATGACAACAACAAAGTTGCAGTATTCAAAATAGCTGGACTTTTTCTTTAAAACAGGTGAGCTAAAAATGTACATTCCAACCTTTTCTTCAGAAAGCTTTCAACATTACTAGATTTTTACTTCATACAAAATCCAAATTGGGAATTTAAGAGTACCACAAAAGAAACTACTAAACACAATGAATTAAAGAATACCCTTTGAAGTAATAAATTCTTGTAATTTCCAAGGATTTCCTTTTCAATGAATTTAAAATACCTCTTAAATGGAAATAAACAATAATAATAAAGGAGACTTATTTGACTATGAGGATTTCATGCTACTGAAAAACATGTTTTAACATTGCAAATATCTCAATTTAGTGGTAGTATCCAATTAAGGACATCAGGCTTAAAATTCTCCATTCAGGAGTCTACTAATTTCAATTTCACATATAGACCCTAACCTAGCAAACAGACTCAATAATTAGTTGAACTATGCATTCTTTTATAAAAATCCAATTGTCTTTATGTCTGTCCACACAGTCTGTCCACTACATAACTTAAAACAAGAGGGCCATGATGGCCCTGAGGTCGCTCACCTGTATATAGCCCCCCCCCCCCCAGACGTTGCAGGGCCAATTTAATCCAAGGGCTTTTATTTGCACAAACTTGGTAGACACCCATAAGAAGATGTTTCATGCTAAACATCTAAGCTCTAGCTCATTGGGCTTTTTAAAAGAAGATTTTTTTAAAGTTTTTACTATACACATATAGTTAAAAACAATGACACCCCTGGGGCCGGGCCAGGGCTTTTATTTGAACAAACTTTGTAGACACTTACTAGAAGATGTTTCATGCTTAATATCTAAACTCTAGCTATTTGGGTTTTTTCAAAGAAGATTTTTTAAGTTTTTGCTATACACATATAAGGAAAATCAATGACCCCCGGGGCGGTGCCAATTTTGACCCCAGGGCTTTTATTTGAACAAACTTGGTAGACACCTATTAGAACATGTTTGATGCTAAATATCTTAGCCATAGCTCTTTGAGTTCTTTAAAAGAAGATTTTTTAAGTTTTTAATATATGCATATAGGGAAAATCAATGACCCCCCGGGGCGGGGCCAATTTTGACCCCAGGGCTTTTATTTGAACAAACTTGGTAGACACTTATTAGAACATGTTTCATGCTAAATATCTTAGCTCTAACTCTTTTGGTTCTTTAAAAGAAGATTTTTTAAGTTTTTACTATATGCATATAGGGAAAATCAATGACCCCCCGGGGGCGGGGCCAATTTTGACCCCAGGGCTTTTATTTGAACAAACTTGGTAGACACCTCTTAGAACATGTTTGATGCTAAATATCTTAGCCATAGCTCTTTGAGTTCTTTAAAAGAAGATTTTTTAAGTTTTTACTATATGCATATAGGGAAAATCAATGACCCCCCGGGGCGGGGCCAATTTTGACCCCCAGGGCTTTTATTTGAACAAACTTGGTAGACACCCATTAGAACATATTTCATACTAAATATCTTAGCTCTAGCTCTTTGGGTTCTTTAAAAGAAGATTTTTTAAGTTTTTACTATATGCATATAGGGAAAATCAATGACCCCTCGGGGCAGGGCCAATTTTAACCCCAGGGCTTTTATTTGAACAAACTTGGTAGACACTCACTAGAAGATGTTTCATGCCAAATATCTAAGCTCTAGCTCTTATGGTTTTTTAAAAGAAGATATTTAAAGTTTTTTCTTTCGGTTGCCATGGCAACCAGAGTTCTGCATGGAATTAAATTCTTTGAACAATTTTTAAAGGTGACCACCAAAGGAACATTCCTGTGAAGTTTGGATGAAATTGGCTTAGTGGTTTATGAGGAGATGTCATTTAAAGTAAAAGTTTACGGACGGACGACGGACGGACGGACGGACGCCGGACGAAAAGCGATCATAAAAGCTCACCCTGTCACTTTGTGACAGGTGAGCTAAAAAAAACAAGATTGCATTTGAGAAAAATGCTATGCCACCGCATGGTTCAAATTTCATAGCTGTTCATGGAAAAGAAAGTAGGTCACATCATCAAAATCTGGTCACCTGATATCAAAGTTCAATTTTACAACTAAAACTGTGCACATGGTCAAAATGTCACTGCTGTACATCAAAGGACAAGAAAGTACGTCATTGTCCCCTCGTGCAAGGCATAATTTCGACCCAAGGTTTTAATTCAAAACAATCTTGATACAGGTCCACCAAACAACATTTCAAGTCAAATATCTAAGCTATAGCTTTCTCCCATTCAGAAAACATTTGTTTTATTTTCTGTTTTTACTATGTGTACATAATGAGAATCATTGCCCCCGGGCAGGGCCAATTTTGACACCAGGGGAAAAATTTGAACAACTTTGGTAGAGGACCTTTAAATGATATTATATATCAAACATCAAAGCTCTATGCCTTGTACCTTCACACAAAAATATTTTTATTTTTTCACTATATGTACATAATGAAAATCAATGACCCCCCGGACGGAACCAATTTTGACCCCAGGGCTATAATTTGAACAATCTTGCTAGAGGTTCACTACACAATGTTTCATGCAAAATATCTTAACTCTAGCCTTTGTAAATTTAGAGCAGATGATTTTTTAAGTTTTTACCATATACATATAAGGAAAACCTATGGCCCCCGGGGGTGGGGCTAATTTTGACACAAGAAGCAAAATTTGAACAACTTTGGTAGATTACCTTTAGATAATATTATTTAACAAATATTAAAGCTCTAAGCCTGGTACCTTCAGACAAAAAGATTTTTTGATTTTTTACTATATGTATATATTGAAATCAATGACCCCCAGGGCGGGGGCAATTTGACTCCAGGGCTATAATTTGAACAATCTTGCTAATGGTTTACTACACAACGTTTCATGCAAAATATCTAATATCTAACCTCTAGTATTTGTCAATTGCTAGAAGAATCTTTTTTAAAGTTTTTACTATATACATATAAGGAAAACCAATGACCCCCGGGGCAGGGCAGGGCCGATTTTGACCCCAAGGGCTATAATTTGAACAATTCTGGGTAGAGGTCCACCAGACAATGCCTTATGCAAAATATCTAAGCTAGATGCCTTTTGGGTCTTTACAAGGTGTTTTTAATTTTTACTATATGCACATATAGTGAAAATCAATGACCCCGGGGTGGAGCCAATTTTGACCCCAGGGCTATAATTTGAACAATCTTGTTAGAGGTCTACGAGACAATGCCTTATGCAAAATATCTAAGCTCTAGGCCTTTTGGGTCTTTACAAGAAGATTTTTTAAATTTATTCTCATAATTCCTTTTGGTTGCCATGGCAACCAGATTTCTGCATGGAATGAAATTCTTTGAACAACTTTAAAAGTCCTTCACCCAAGGAACAAGCCTGCCAAGTTTGGTTGAAATTGGACTAGTGGTTTTTCACAAGAAGATTTTTTAAGTTCACTATATAATCTATATAACACACACACTAACACACACACACACAGGTGAATCGCTATATGCCACCGCATCGCAGATGCTGCGGTGGCATAAAAACCCCAAAAAATTGAAATCAATAGTCATAAAGCTATGAAAAAAGACAAGTGCTTTGTGTATATCTGCCAAAAAAACCAAACTAACCTGTCCCATCTGGTAACCTGTAGGTTGTGGTGGCATTAATTGTGGTATAAATTGTATATACTGTTGCTGTTGGGACTGTGCTAACAAAGGCTGCCCTGTTGCTGCTTGCACTGCTGAGGCAGTATAGTCTGGCTTCACTGACACAACCGCTGCAAAAAATAACATTCATTTTCATGGTTTAAGTGATACACAATTGATGACAATCTCCTAGATTAGACCCTCTATATACCTGAGAAGTAAAACTTGTATATAACAAGAGCCATGTCAACATGGCCATCCCCCGCCGAATGTGTTTGCTCATTGGAAGAATGTATATGTAGTAGAGCGGAATAATTCTATTTTAAGAGGTCTTTTGGTAATGAAAACTGATGGCTATAGTGATTACAGATTTGAAACCTATGTGAATACTGATGGCTGAAAATAACAAAGGGCAATTACTGAAAAATAATGCAGGGTAGGTTATCATTATTGTGTGCTGCATCCCTCCTCAGTAAAATCTATCCACCTATGAAGTTTCAAGTTGATACCTCAAATACTTTTTGAGAAAAAATTAAAGTATGAAAAAGAACAAAGGGCAATAACTCAAAAATTATAAAAGGTAGAGTTATCATTCTTGTGCAGTGCACACCTCCTGAGTCAGAGATCTATGCACCTATGAAGTTTCATTTTGATATCTCAAAGGCTTTTTGAGTTATGCTCTGGACAAAAATTAATTTTGAAAAATAACAAAGGGCAATAACTCAAAAATAATGCAGGGTAGAGTTATCATTCTTAAGCACTGCACTTCTCCTCAATGAGATCCATCCACCTTTGAAGTTTAAAGTTGATACCTCAAATACTTTTTGAGATAAGCTCTGGACAAAATAGCATGAAAAAAAAAGGGGGAAATAACTCAAAAATTGTATAGGTAAGAGTTATCATTCTTGCGCACAACAGTCCTCCTCAATAAGATCTATCCACCTATGACATTTCATGTTGATATCTCAAACACTTTTTGAGTTATGCTCCACTCAGGTGAAAAATTAGGTATGAAAAATAACAAAGGGCAATAACTCAAAAATTATGAAAGGTAGAGTTATCATTCTTGTGCACTGCACACCTCCTGAGTGAGATCTATGCACCTATGAAGTTTCATGTTAATATGTCATAGGCTTTTGGAGTTATGCTCTGGACAAAAATCAATTTTGAAAAATAACAAAGGGCAATAACTCAAAAATCATGCAAGGTAGAGTTATCATTCTTGTGCACTGCACCCCTCCTCAATGAGGTCTATCCACCTATGAAGTTTCAAGTTGATAACTCAAATACTTTTAGAGATATGCTCCGGACAAAAATGTCGGACGGAAGGACGGACGGACGGAGACTATTTCTATATCCTCCGCCGAAATTTTTCGGCGGGGGATGATAAACTAAAGATAACGAAATGAACCGTATATATACTCCTTGTTTAGACCCTGTGGTCTATTCCAGGATATTGCCTAATTGATATAACACACTGTATCAAAGTTACTGTCTAAATATTTGCCTTTCAGAATTTACTGTAAAACCAAATAAATAATCTTTACAGTGTGCAGGAAATTCACCTTAAATCAAATATTTTTGTAATTGTTCAAGTCAAACAAGCTTCTTATTCTTAAACCAAAACTCATGCACATTTCAAGATTTTATGAGGAGTCAGGCAACTGTTATATATAATCTTTCTCCTCTGATTTTAAAAGTGCGCCCTCAACATGCGGATACAAACATTTTTTTACACCACTGATAACAAGTTTAGGCATACTCCAGACAAAATTTTGGTCACTGCATTACAGAATTTATATAGCACTATTCTATACAAATTTCTTATATATAATATAGACACATGTGATTTCATCAGTTTTAACCTTTAACCTACTTGTTGGTAATAACAGACTCTACACCCATGCTACCAGTGCAGACCATGATCAGCTGGCAAATAATCTGCACCGTTTATAATTCAGTCAAAAATTATTTTGAAATGTCCCTACAGACAATTTTTTCATTGTTCAATTTCATAAATATGATGCTCAAATTAGGATTTGTCAATATTGTAGGTTCCAATAAGCATTATTTATAAAGATATTACCCAAATTAACATTTCATGTAAATAAAGAGAGGTAATTAGAAATTTATTTTCTACAAATTCTATGTCAAATTTTCCAATAAGAAATGAATGCATGTAATTTATTGATTAAATATAATGTGCACAAATATTTGCAGCACACATTTTACATATTCTTCGATGTTTGAAAATAGTTTTATTTGCATAATTATATACATATTTATTTAATTTTACCCATAAAATATGGTGCTATATCAGTCAAATATATTTCATATTTTTAAAAAAAATAAATATGATATATAAATATGAAAGTAGGTGGGGTCAAATCTCATATTTATTTTAAGGGACTTCTTTCGCCATTTTGTTTGAAAAATCTGAAAAACACAAAACAAATTTTTGTTGAATTTTTGCTTTGAAAACTATCTTGAATGATAGAAAATGGTCTAACTAAGAAAATTAATCCGAACACCAATATCTTTAATTCAGTCATTAACGCTGTACAGACGTTTAAAGAGATGTTTACTTGACGTCACAATGTAGCGCCAAATATCGCGTGCAAAACAAGACACAATAATATATTACTGCGCGCTGTACAATGGCAGTTGTGTAGCAATCAATAGGGTTAGTAACCATTTTTCTTTGATAATGAAATTAAATAAAAAGGTTATTTTTTCGTGAAATATGGAATATATTTTCACTCAACGTGATAAAATGCCTCATATTTTCACTCGCCGTCCTGGCTCGTGAAAATATGTGGCATTTTATCATGTTGAGTGAAAATATATTCCATATTTCACGAAAAACGAAAAAATATCCTCTATTTTTTGCAAGTGTGGTATACACACAGTAACAATATCAATCACAAAACATACAGGATATTTAAAAGATGGACAAGTCCATTTAAGATATATATCATGGTAAAGGTTAATATCATATATGACTCTCACACCAACACTCCAAACAGATCAAGTTAACACTTACCTCTTTTAGGTCTGATGTTGTATGGGGGTTGATTTCCAGGGTTATTAAGCACCATTTGGGGAGGCATTATATAATGCTGGTTTGAGCCTGGGTATCCTGGAGGGATGCTCATGGGTTGGTTCATTGGACTTTGGGTCTGGGGACGGGGAGGAGTAGGTGTCTGTTGATGACTTGCTTGTTTCTGAAATAAAAACAAATGAAAATATTTTATTTTAACCTATTAACATTCTCAGTGTTTCTGCCAGAATAGATTTTTTGGGGGTCATTTGTGACCCTCTGTATAGAAATATGAGGGTCATTTGAAATTTTTAAAATTCAAAAAAAGTAAAAACTACAAAAGTTTATCTCAGAACTGTTTGATTTCACATGTTAACTTCAATTTCTCACTTTTTATGGTTGCAAATGAAAATTCTTCTATTTAAAAGAAGAACCAAGGCTTATTTGCAATAAACATTTCACATGTCAGACATCTGTTTATAGCAGAAACTTTTAGATATTTTGGCCACTGAAGCCCCTATCTTTAGTGGTGTGTTTACCATTGTGAGAAAAGCATCGGCATGCACAAGTTGCTTGTTTACCCAGACCGTATATGTCTAAATCCTGGATACCGTGACTGATTGTAGAACGGTTAAAAGTCGGACAGAAAATGTACCGATAACGACACAGAATGGGCTAGCAATTTATACATACAGTTACCGGAAATAAACAAATTTCAGACACTCGAACAATAATTGCCAATATTAACGAGATGGCGCTATTAATAGCAGAAATAACTTAATGGAAAGACATCTCATTAAGGTAGATTATAACTACTTCATGAAAAATTATAAAGAATCTGGAGACATGTCCCTTTAAAGGGTTCAACTTACAGGTTGGAAAGACTGTTGCTGAGTTGACTGCCTGGGAACCCATTCATCTGCTTTAGGATTTAATGTGGATTTTTCCAATCTAAAAAAAGAAACATAAAAAAATATATTATCTAATTCAATAACAACTAAAAGTATTCAACATCTAGCACCTCGTAATACACATATCTAAAGTTGTAACTCATTTTATCTTTGGGCAATAGTAACTAGCTCATGTCAATAACCTGCACATTTTAAGCTCTCTAGATCCAGTGCTACCTGTCTAACCAGGCCCTCTAGTTGCTGCTTATATATCAAAACCACTTTTAACTGTTGATCATTATTTTCTTAAAATCAATCAACAAATCTGGGTATTAATTAAAACCTAATTAAAATGGTACATGTATATCTGTTCCACTAGTTGTGACAAAACCCCTATAAAAGTTTGTTCCATCCTGGGAAAATTTTCATAACCAACTTGACAGTTTTGTTAAATTTTGCAACAACATCATTTACAAATAACACAAACTTTGTATATTCCTTAAAGAGTAAAGAAAATAACAGAACCGAGATATATAACTCACATTTTTAAAGCATTATCTTGCACAGTATCAGATCCTGTAGCCTCTGCTGATGATGAACTAGTTTCCATTTTCTTCTCTTCACTATGTGCCGTCGTCCCATGTTGTGAAGCAGAAGTCACTGGCACTGAAGACTGTACATTTTCTTTACTCTCAGATGAACTTAACTTCTCCGATCCTGAATCCTTTTCTTCACTAACACTCTCTTTACGTTCTAAACTAGCTTTCTCTTTAATGTCTTTTGTATTGTGTTCTTTTTCTTTATCTTTATCTTTTGATGTGTCTTTATTATCATCCAACTGGAAGAATCACAAAAACACACCATGCAATGCTGGTATCAAAAACAAGACCCTTGAAATTATTAGTAGTTAATAGGACCAATGATATCAATGATAATAGAGCTTATGGACACGAAAAATACATGTATAAGCAGAGACAATTTGTAAGATACAAAATAAAACGCTTTACATGCAACAAAATACCCCCCCAAGTAGTCTTGTTGACTTAAAGCATAGTTCATAATGGAAACTTTCTTACTATAGCTATATCTAACATTCTTATAACCACTAAAGAAAACCTTTTCAGACAGCGTACTCCCCCTTTTCACTGCTGAATAGTGAAATATAAACATTAAAACTTTTGAAAAAATAAATTTAGGATTATCTGCCCTTTTGAAATGGCATCCTTTTTATAATATTACACATGTAGATCAAGTTTGAAGTACATAGTTTAGTTTATGAGAAATTGGACCTTACTGAAAAAGGTTAACAAATGCTGTCAATGACATGACAATAGCTCCACTTTTTTCTTTGATAAGCCAAGCTAACAAGAGCCTGGATAATGTAGAAGTTCAAAAAGGGTCATAATTCCATATTTAACCATTTCTATAATCAAAGTAGTTTTGCAGATACCAACTTTGCACATAAAATGTTAACCAAAGTGTGACCCGCAGGGATGATCACAAATAGCTCTCCTTATCCTTGAAATAGTCAAGCTAACTAAGATAGAAGCCACACATTTTGCAATATTTTACATCAGGCTGCTTGTCCAGCAACAAATATTTTAAATCTTACTTGCAGATACTATCAGAGGATCATGAAAAAACAATCATGTACTTAATTCTCTGGAATATAAAATGTTTTGTTTTTGTTGTACTTTTTCTTTAGTAGATTGTTTGTAACATATATATGCTTACCTTAAATTTTGAACTAAACTCTTTTAATTCCTTTATCTGTTCATCCCTTCCTACAAAACAAAAAGTAAGGCTTTAAATATTTACACTAAACAGATCAAATATATGACTTCAGCAAGAATAAGACAAGTTTCAAACAAATTTATATTAAATTTTTTATTTTTACAAAATTCAATATTATCTTGATATTGCAGCATACACTTATACAGTTTCATGACACCAAAGTTTTAAATCATATGACCATAATGGCAAAATGTTAAATTTCATCGTTTTCAAGGATACCAATTGACCAGAGTTTCATCCAACAACAACCAACCATTAATATGTCTTATTCCATTTTAATGACATTAGATTCTACCAATCAAGTGTCTAGTGATTCACATTAAATTTTACCAATAATTGTCAAGTGGCAAACAATCAAAATTGTTGTATTTTACAACAACTCATCAATTATATGATTTTCATTTACAAACATCAACACAGATGACAAAGACAGTCTTTCAAACATATTTCTTGCATGAAAATTTGCATGAAACATTGGCATAAAAAATTAAAGATATCCCTATTCATAAAAATTTCCAAGAAATAAGAACTGTCCGTAAGACAGCGCACTAGACTTATCTCAGTGCTTGACAGAAAGACAAGAGGGAAATTTCTCTGTAAAAAGGTAAATCAGAGTATGAGAATAGTGTTAATCATGTTAGATAACCACAGAGAACAATGGTATGAAATTTTAACAAATTTCCTTCAGCAGTTTTTGAGAAACAAACCAAGGTGAGTATAAAAGCTCTCTCTCTCTTCTTCGCATATTCAAGCTTATTACAGATTAAAATAACAACCATCTTTCATCGAATTCATTAAATTCTATGTACACAACAAACCTTTCATTGGCTTTTTGCCCTCTTTACCAGCATGTGTTAGATGTGGTACATGATCTTGTTTATCTGTGACAGGTGGTGGCCCGTGATCGTGACCTACCAGACTAGTTTTAACTGTTGGCCCTGCTGTTGATGCAGGTATTGAAGATCGCCCAGTCTCCTCTGTAAACAAAATAAATATCAATGTCTAATAATTATTAATGTTAATAATTATGATTTTAATCACTATCATGGTAAAAATAAATAGAAACAAACAAAATGTATTTATTTGAATAGTTGTCATAAAAGTTGTCAAATCAGATTGAAAATATTAAATATTGATAAATTGAACAATTGATATTATACATGAATAAATCACAGCAAAATGACAAGATTCATGTTATATCAGTTACAAACCTCCATTAACATTTTCTACTGTAGATTGTGAAGACACTTGAGTGGTTTGTAGAGACTGTTGATTAGGTATATTGCGGTTTGACTGGGCTGAATAGCCTCCACGGTTTGACTTTGACATGCCCCCACTTCCTGTAGGACGTTTGTTTGGAGGTATATATCTGCAAGTGACCAATTTCATTCTCTATTCTTAAGAAGGCAAAATATCAGAAAACATCAAAATGGCTCCAAGCATGTCCTCAACAAATTCATTTACCTTTAGTTGTCTTTTAAAAGCAAAATTGTACAAAATTTTCTATATCTTACAATGTTTGAATAAGGATAAACATGACCAATAGCAAGAAATAATCAAATTTACGGTTAAAGTTAATATTTATAATTATAATCATGAACATTTACTGTTAACCAATGAAACTTTAAATAAAATGTTATCTAAATAAATAGAAATAGAAAAATTAATTAGGCTGATTAAACAATAGAATTCCTTGCAACTTATAAAGGTTTCTTTTTTTTCATGTAAGTGAGTGCTTCTTCAAATAAAATAACTTTTTACAAACAAATATTTCCAAATTAATTTATTTCCCAGATACCCCAAAAAGAAAAATTTGAACAAATCTTTGTACAGAAGAACAGTTTAAGTAAACTTTGCAAAATTACATGGTTTTCGATTTTGAAAAGCAAAAAAAAGATCGTCCTTTCCTTCCAAGTCTCTCTTGTAAATTAATAGAAAACTAGGAGAACTTACTTTCCTGGCCCTCCAGCACCAGTGGGCTGTGACTGACTACTGGACTCTCCAGGTCGCACAACCGAGCTGAACGCCGCCTCTTCATCGTCCCCTTCTCCATTCTCCAGGGCTATATGTTTCTTATAAGATTCACACCTCTCTATTTCAGCCGCTAATTTTGAGGCTTGTTGTTCACGGCGTCTGTATTCTTCTGAATTACCTCTCTCTAACCTTGTTCTGTAAACATAGTTAAAACACTGAATGATCATAAAATACAATATACTTTTTTGATTTCAAGGTAATATATAGCACTGATGTGATAACATTATCTAGCTTAAAATGAGAATACAGGGCCCTCGATCAACCAAATCTGCGGCCGATATTCGGCCGCAGTCCCCCACCAAAATAGTATGTTTTTCCCCCCTAACAGAGGTAAAAATTCCCCCTCAAAACATATAAAGTGTTAAAGAGAAAAATGAAAACTAATGTTGTTTTTGAAAATTAAAATCAATCTATTTGACGTCTATTTTGTAAGCGGAATATCGTTCAGTTCATGTCTGCACGTTTCCGTTTGTTTTTTCCCCCAAAATCTACCGTCACATATTGGCCTTTCATCCTGTAAAAATGCTAAAATTTCAACAGAAATATGCAGAAAAAAATCACAATTCCCATCAACAATTTGATTTCAAATTGTTTATTCATGAAATCATTTTTTTGTCTTCAAAATGTTACATCAACCACGGTAAATTTTGCCGTAAATTACAAACTTGTAAGTTTTGTTTTCATGATACTTTATTAAATAACTGATGAAAAACGATCTTATAATAAACAATCAATTTAATTTTATATAATTTACATCAATAGAATTGTGGATGTGTAAAAAGAAAACAAACACATTTTCATTTGTCACATATTTTCGCAATGCTGGTTTTTATGGTTGTTTTACAAAGTCAAGAAAAGGAAGCTTTGTCTTATTAAAGGTGTGTAATAACACTAGAAATGTTTATGGATAAAATTTATTTTAGGTCCATGTATTGTTCATATTAGTGGAAATGGGGACATTTGTCTGAATGTGTTTCTCAATGCTTATTTTTTTTTTTTTTTTTTTTGGGGGGGGGGGGGGGGGTGAATCATAAAGAAAGCTAAATTTTTAAATAAGTTTATTTGATATTTGATCATAAAAAAAAGAGGACAATTCCCCCCATACACTAAAATTCCCCCTGCTGAGGGTAGCGACCCGCTTCCCCTAAATTTGATTGAGGGCCCTGGAATACAGTATCCCTCTTAACATTGCAGTTGGGTATTTTCTTTTTAAGTACTTTACCCATGTGTAAGAAGACGTAATATTTCTAAGAAATTTTTTTACTCCCTTTACCCATTAGTTCAAAGATGTGCTATCAAATTGACTAACCTTTTAAATGTCACATTACATAAAATTTCACATTACACTGAACTGTAAATATGAAAATGTGACATTACACTGAACTGTTTGTTTGTTTGTTTGTTTCATTTTACGCCTTTTTCAACAGTATTTCAGTCATATAGGCGGTTAGTTCTCTAACCATCGTTCCTGGAGAGTTACACCAGTACTAGACTACCTTCCTCCGCGCTAAACTACCAAAGCATCTCCCGGGGATCGAACCCACGCCAGAGAGGTAACTGGATTAGAAGTCATCGACTCTAACCCCTCGACCACGGAGGCGGTCAACACTGAACTGTAAATCTGAAAATGTGACATTACACTGAACTGTAAATAGGAAAATGTGACAATGTACATACGTGTATTGCTCCAATGAGTCATCATATGACGATTGTACATTAAACTGTACCGCATTTGTATGGAACATATCATTGGGATCCCACCCATTCTGAAAAATTAAAATAAACATATAAAGTAAAAGAGAATCCATACCTGAAATAAAACAATGAATAATAATTTGTCACCTTAAAGCAATAGCTGCAATTAAATTTAGAAGGACTTATTACATTATTGCACTAAGGTGACAAATAAACCTTAGTAATGTTCAATTTTCTATGTTTAAAAAAGGGCCATAATTCTGCAAAAATTTCATGTTAGAGTTAATAGCCTTGGATAATGACCCACTATTATGCTTTCATAAAAGTGACTGAAGTTTCAACCCATTTCCTGCAGTAGTTTTGGAGATACAAACTTGAAAGTAAAATCTTAACCTAAGAATGTTGATGACATTGATGCTTGGGTGAGTCCAATAGCTCTCCCTATTCTTTGGATTGAGCTTAAGCTAATAAGCTCTACCTTTTTTTTCCCCAAGCAATAAAAAACTTTCAATCTATTAGTTAAGCAAAATGAATCCCAGTTAATTAAATGACTAAATTTGTTTAAGCATATATTTACAATACATTTTTATACAATATTTTGCAAGGCTTGGCACCAAACATACAACGCACTTGTGTAAGACTTAGAACAGGTACATCTATTTAGTATCTTCTGTATCATGCTAATCAGACAAAATGTTGAAACATTTTAAAGTGCCATGTTATAAAAATAATGTAGAATAAAAAATTTTTGACATAATTTTTGTTTAAGACATTTTAGCTTTTAAACAAAAACTGTTTTCTGCTATTTCTAAACTTGCTGTCACTATCATTTGTAGGTCAAAGCTTAATTGCAAAAACCTCTGATTCTTAGTTAGATTGCAGGCAACAATGTTTCTATCTCTTACAGGAACGTATATCGGGTTATTTTTCTGGATATGGGACTTTAATTGATACATACTGAAGACTTATCACCCGTGCCGTCTAAAGAAATCTCATCCCCTCCCTCAGAATCCCATGGCTGCAATTCTTTCATCTCTTTTTCCTTCATTTCACCATTGAATTTACTAATACCTGTGTCTGTGAATGAGTCTGAAATAAACAATATAAATCTCTTAATAAAAACAGTCAATCATTATGAAAGAAATTCCTATAAAGCGAGTGTGTGATATATTGTCTTAACACGGTGAATATTTAAGCAAACTTATGTCTTCCAAATGGTCAGGGTCAAAAACAAAACACACACACACACACACAAAAACAAACCAACACAATATGTACTTTGTTTCCCCTGAATTTTGTTTACATCTAATTTCCACAATTTCCCCAATTTAAACCACAACTTCTGTTTCAATTTATTGCAGAGAACTTTCCTCCTGTGCTTGAAATAAAGTGTTGAGAACTAAAAGAAACAGACTCCAAACATTTCAATAATGTTTCAATGTGCGGATATAAATATTTATAGTTCAATTTCTTAAATTTTCCAAATAATAGAAACAACGATATACTTATAAATTCAGGATTCAATGTACTCATTAACAGTATATGGGTAAAATTCATTTGTAAAGCTTGATACTAATGATTGTGCTATACAAGTCCAATGTACAAAGTTTTAATAAACTTAAATAACATAGGATTGGATGAATAATGATAAACTAACAAAACACAGGATCATTCAAAGTAACACAAAAAGTTAAATTGTATATAGATTTCATGAAAACATCAACAACCGTGTCTATTCTAGACATATGAGAATTTTGTAAATTTATAAATAGGACAAATACTGAATGAGGCATGCTCAAATACTAACAAATATGACTCTGAAGACAAATTATGTAAATTTCCCAATGGTTTTTTGGAAAGAACATACTAGCAAATTTTGAGTTTGTATCCATGGTCTCGGAAAGTGACTGCAAGCTTAACTATTACTACATACAGAATGATGTAAAGGTTTAAGCTAATACCAAACAATTAGTGTTGGATATCGGACTCAAAAATCACTATCGATAATCAGACCGCCACAATCGATTGTCTGCCGATAGTATAATCGCACTTATTATGGCCCTTTTTTCTTTTAAGGTACCAATCTTTGTATGTTTTTTTAATACAGTGTGACCACATTTTGAGAATAAATAAACTCTTGTTTCCAAGATTAAAGTATGTTTTGCTCTTTAAATTCAAAACAAACAATACAAAGACCTAAAACTACTTTGTGACATTCAATTTTTGTATAAAATAAAATCTGGAATTAAAGAGATTTGGTCCGGAAACTTCTATTTGACCGCATGTAAAAAGTTAAAGGCAATTCAGCTGTGGTAGAACATTAAAATAATCGATTTTTAAAAAGAACTATCGATTGTTGCCGATTTTGGGGTGGTCCGATTAGTTATCGATTTTCAGAGACAATCGGGACAACACTACAAACAATTAAATAAGATATAAATTTGCATGCAAACCTTAATAAAATGTTACCTCATTGCTTTGTATCGTTCAACTGAAAGTATTTATTAAATAGGGTATACAAGAAAGCTGATCAAATTTTTATCAGTTACTAACAGCTTAAATATATAATATCATAAGATGTACCTTTTACAGCATAGTCCAGATCTAGGTTTGCAGCATTAATAGTAACAAGATCCGCGTACTTCACAACCAGCTTTGGTAAAATGCGTTCTTTCGACGGTGTCGATGATTGCGTCTGGCCCCCATTTCCATTTTCCTCTACCATATGCACATAATCCAATACAAAATCTCCCTGAAAAAGATAATGCAATGTTCATTAGTTTTGATCCATAACTTTGTTGCAAGTTGACACAACAGAGTTGCTCTTTACTAAAGTCATGCAAAACAAAATTTAACAAATCTATTAAAATCAAAAACGTTTTATATTAAAGCTATCAAAATCATATAGATTTACTTGAAAAAGAGCTGGCAATACTCAATTTTTTGCCATCAACAAAATGTTTTTGATAACAACATTAAAATAAACAAAGATGAACTCACTGTTGGAGAAACTGTCTTCAGAATTCCTTCATAAATAATTCCATTTTTCACCTGCGCTTGGACAACAGACCCCTATTGAAAACAAAACATTAAAATGACATCTGCTATTATTTACTATGGTTTCTTTCCCTTATAAAACTTAAACTTACTGTATTTCTTAAAAGGACTTGTCCAGCTTCCAGCTTTTTGAACTATGGAGTATCAACTTTAGTGTTGTCAAGATGAAAATTTTAAGTTGTACAGCAAACATTAAAGTACAGTATGACTCACAGACATGCATGCGGATCCTTACACTATAGTGTATACTGGTGGCAAATGATTTCCACTTCCTGTTCCTGTACTATAAGCATTAATCACAACCAAATTAAAATGAAATTTTCAAGATATACAATTAAATTTTACAATTTCAGAACTCGGAAAAATATCAGAAAATGAAATTCATGTACATGGTTTATATAAAACTTTATCAGTATTAATTTAATAAAAATATTTAGAAAGCATGATTTCTAATTTTGAAAAAGCAATTCTTTGTATGATTCTTTCTCAAAATCATTCCTTTTAGTTCTCTCAGACCTTGGATATACAGTCCAATTACATCTGAAAGATAATGGTTACTTTAGTCAAGACACTAAAAGACAACTTGTTTTACTTAGTAAAAATCCACCACAAAAAAATATAAAGTTTAAAAATGCTTACCACCAATGAAAATATAACATGGGTTAACCTTGTATTTTTATATATTCCTTCAATCTGAAAATAAACAAAAAACACTTTACTTACAACAATGCTACAAAGAATGTCAAGAGCAAGTAATTCAGAGCATAAATGAGTAATGTTTATAAATTAATGCATGTCTAAAACTTGTGTTAGTTAAATTTTGCCTTGTGGTTTCAAGGCATTAACTCCAAGCCAGGTATATGGCCCAAAACAATCCAAAATAAAAATCTCAACTCCTATTTGCCAATTTCAAAAAGAACTAGAAATGTGTCATTTAGTCTGTCAACCTGTCCATAGGACACTTATTCCCCCTTAGTGGCATATTTACATAAATGCATATTTTTAGTATTTAGTGACTGTATTATATTAACACATATATATATAATTACCAATAGTATTGTCACTATTTAGTTTCAGAAACCTATGACTTAGGAAACTTTGTTCTTAAGGGGGTCTTCCATAGGCCAAGGGCAAGCTTTATAAACTTATGACTTTGTTGCACAAAATTTGTCAGATCTTATTTCAACAGCAAGTGATTTTGTTGAACAAAGTACTGACTAAGAAAAAGAAGTTTTCATTTTACTTCAAGGAACAGACAATTTATGGTATCAGTGATCTTTTAGAATATATTAAAAACAATAAATATACATTTCAACAATGAAATTATTGAAATAGGATTTTAGAAAATTCCCGAACATAAATCAGATGCATGTAGTCTAATTTTTAATTTTTTTACCATCACTATAGTAGAACTAATTTTAGGGAACACTGAATGATTTCAAAGAATTAAACTGTCTGTAAACAGCTCCTGTGAAAGAAGTAAAAAAAGAGAATTTTGTGAGGATTTTGAATACTTACACTCTTTTCATTAACTGGACCTCTGTTTCTCGGTTGTCTGAAAACATACAAGATAAATTATATCAGTATTTAGATTTATAAATTAATCTCAGCTACTATAGACTCTTACAAAAATTTTCACTTATTAAAAACATTAGAAGAGAAATCAATAAATCCAATTCACCCCTTACGTTACGACATCTAGGTGATAGTTACAAAAAAAAATAAATGCATGAATTTTGTTGACCTTTGCCATTTAACTAGCAACAATCCCTAATTAATCAATTTAATGCATTTCTAAAACAATAAGACAAACATTCTGAAAATTGTTTTAGCATTACTGGATATTTTGTCCAGTAATTTTTGAAGAATCACAGGACAAAATAGACCAAATGGAAATCAGGAAAAAAAATTAATCGTTCCGTGGCTCTAACATACATATAGTAATTTTAGCATAGTGTCTCCTCAACTGGGAAAAATAAAGTGTGATGGTAATGTTTCTACTGTACATAAAAAGATAATTTGCTTCTACTGGGTTTTAAAACTGTTGTTTTTTCTCCTCTTGCATGTTTTACTCTCCTTACTCTCCAATAGAGCTGTCATTGATTAAGGGCAATCATAATATATTATATCAGATGAAAATATTGATGATACACCAATAATGGCAATATATATAAAATATCACCAAAGCTTCAAATAATTTTTCATGCAATTATAGTGTTTCTGCCAGACTAGATATTTGGGGGTCATTTGTTACCCTCTGTATAAAAATGTAAGGGTCATTTGAACTTATGAAGGGTCAAATTAAAAAATTGAAAAAAAAACTCAGAACTGTTTGATTTCAAGTTAACTTCAATTTCTTAATTTTTGTGGTTGCCAACGAAAAATCTAAAGAAAGAACAAATTATTTGCATATTCATATGCATTAAAACAAACTGTCAGACATCTGTTTAAAGCAGAAACTTTGATATTTGGTCACTAAAGACCCTATCTTTGGTTGGTGTTTACCATTGTGAGATAAGCATCTGCATGCACAAATCTCTTGTTAAGACTATACATGTCTAAATCCTGGATACCTTGACTGATTGTAGAACAGTTAAAAGTTCGACAGTATATGTGCTGATATTGACACAGAAAACGTTAGCAATTAAATTGAATTTAAACATATTATGCAGTTACCCGAAATAAATAAATTTCGGATACTCAAACAGTAATTGCCAATTTAAACAGTATGGCGCTAATAATAGGAGAAATCACTTAATAAAAAGACCTCCAATTAAGGTAGATAACAACTAAATTGCAAATTTCAATGTGTCATTCCTGAGATTATTTCGTCAAAAATCAGAGTAGCAGAAACACTGCAATTAGTTTTTTTACTGCTCAGATTTGTTATAATATAATATCATTTATCATGGTAAAGACATTGTCTACTAAGGGTGTAACGGTTTACCGGTATACCGATATATTGCAATATGAAAAAATAAATTTCGTACCGCGGTACGATTTTTGGAAAACCGGTATTTTATAAAAATCATAATTTTCAATTAATTGCCTTCTAATTTTGTACAAAATTCACATAAAATCTTTAATTGGCGAATTTTGTTGGCGCCAACGTAAGATAAAAGTATCCGACAACTAGTACACTTAAAAATAATAAGCGGCCGCATAATTTACATAATCGGCCCAGATGTGAAAGGTCACACGCGACTAGTTTTGTTTATCAAATTGTGTGACACTTTACTTTCTATTTATTCCTTACATATTTATTAAGTTTCTACTAAAAATATATGCATATAATAATAGTATATGAATGTTACTCCATCTTTACATCAAAACATATACACGACAATACGTATTGCAATATATTGCAATACGCTTCAGCAAAATGGCAATATATTGCAATACGGTTTTTGCTGTATTGTTACACCCCTATTGTCTACAATACAATACATATATACAAATGATACATTTGTCACGGTTCAACTGTTCACTATAATTTTAGGGGAGAAGATGTGTAAGCTTACAAGTGCGAGATTCTTCTATACTGGGTCAGAATATTGCTGGACATTAAACTTTAACAATAGGAAAATATGAGAAGGTAACATTTTCATTTGGTCAAACTGTCAACTATTCAATGCCCGAGTACGATCAAAAGATTGCAAAACTTGTTTTTGTAAACTTAATTATGTAGACATGCAAAATTATGGATCAATAAAATTCCCTGCAAACAATCATACATAGCAAGACAAGTAAGGAATCATAACTCTAAGTAGCGAATAGGTTAATTATGACAGTACCTATCTTGAATATAATTTTGTCTCTTGTCTGTGCGATTGCCAGAATTCATCCGGCCACCTCTGTTTCTCTTGCTGTTGATCGTGTTCATGGCAGACAGTGGATGGGGTAAGCGTCATAAAAAAAACTTAATTACAAGGTCATACCGCAAGAAATGTGAGTTAAAGGATGACAAATCATTGAAAGGGGACTTCGCATACAATAGCAACTCCTAGTCTTATGAATAGATGATGAGCACAATCAAAACAAATAAATTTCTCGGCTTTGCCAAGAACATGTAGAACGGCTGGGCGTAGTAATACAAACTACTAATTCATTTCTGACGGAATTTGTTATTAGCAAAAACTTTAGTATTTATTCCTGAATATTACAGTTTTTCTACTTATGGATATAAAAATCCGTATGCAATTTGTTTGGTAAATGTATGATTTATTAATCAATTACGTGCATGTTTTGGGATTATTTTAGGGACTACTTTACAATTTTGTTGAGATAATTTGAACTTCCGGTTGCATTACTTTTTTCTTTAATAACCTAATTAAACCTTTATAACTGACTTAAACTGATCTTCATTAACATTTAACAAAGTAAAAACAACTTGTACTATCTTTTATATTTGCAGAATAAAAAAAACATATTTCACATACGCATATATTTTAAAATCTGACGAATAAGTCTTTGGTAACGGAAAGTAGTCAGCTCAGATGGTACGGTAATGACTTTCCATCCATCCGCCCGATCGCATTAAGTAACGGTAATTAATTCGCAAAAAAAAGAGAGAAAATGTTCAAAAAGTCAAAGCATCTGATTTTATTTATTCCATGGATTCTTCAAAAAAGTTATTCACTCCAGTGATTTTTGCATTTTCATTTATCCATAAGTTTTAACCTTTGTGTGTATTAGAAGAATTAGGCTATTGTAGGCGATGTATAAACTGTAACAATGCGTTATACATTTACAAAAGGTTGCAAAGTATGATTTGTGAAAAAAAATATTGCAGAGAACATTGAACGGAATTAATTTTCAACTTAATTTCTTTAAAAATATGAATAGAAATATACTGATAACGGGACACATACTAATCGCACTTACAGTCTAAAACTTCATAATGAGTAAAACGTAATGAGCATCACACATCAAACGGGAATTTCTTAAGAGCTTTTAAGTGGATCTTGTACTCAGTGCTTAAATTAATTTGAAATTGTTATCAAAAAATATTCTTTATAGGGCTTTTGGCTGGGATTTTACCATGTGACCGTCCCCGCATGGCAAGACATTTACCGGGGTTCGAAACTCATAAAGCGCGCGCGTGCGTGTGTGATGGATTACAACTGTTTGATTGTGTTGCATGTAAGATGCTCCTCTATGAATGACTTGTGTGAATGTTGACACTGTGATACTATATAATAGCCGTCCGATAAGGTTATGTTTCTTTTGATAGCACTTACGTGTATTAATTTTCCTAGTTTGATTTAACGGTCAATGAGTACATGTAATAGAAAGAGACCCCTCATACAAATCAGATAGCCTCTTGTGTCGATGTCCTTTCTCTTTTGCAAAAATTGGCAAAAATATAAAAAACATTCCCTGTTATCATAATATGAAACTCAAGAAAAAAGTAACCAATGAACGAGCATATGAATATGATATTTCTATCGCTATCCCTTTCTTTGCCGCCACAATTAGTAAACCCCAGAAAAAATGAGCCGATCAAATGGTATGCTCTAGAGTGCGGATAACCAATTCCTGCACTTCAGTTAAGGCACAGTGCCTGTATACGATTTAACTCTGACACATTTTCAACAGAAAGGTCCCCAAACTATGATACAAGTACACTAATCTATCAAAAGATGAAATACGTACAAATCATGCAAATATAGAAATCTACACTAAACGTCGTCAATAAAATAATGCGTTGTTTTAGTGCGGTTATCTCTTTCTATTAGAAAATGTTCATTTTAAATGAATATACTAGGTAAATTTAATTCCTAATGTTCCTTTTTCATTTATATAAGTTTCAGCGAGACTTAAAATAGTATAATATTCGATATGTCGTCAGCAGTCCGACAAAAAAGTATAGCAAGCGCATTCTCGAGACCACTAATATTTAGCGGCGTGCAACCGCGAGGACCATTTTACTGTTAAAACGCGCGTAATATAAGCTGCCAACAAATTTTCAGAACATTTTACAAGAAATTTTGTGATTGAAACAATATGATTTTCGACTTTTACCATTATGTTCTAGGGAAATGCGGAACAGTATAAGAAATAGCACACATGCAGTACTTTGGACTTTAATGCATTATAGTTAGTTACCTGTCAGTCCAGAAAATGAACATACCTTGTCTTCGGCTGCGGTCCGGGCTGACTGACCGCGGTCACTGTAATGCTATGACTAAAACAGACGGGAATGAATGACGAGGCGTCATTTTCCAAGGAAGGGAAGTGTGTAACAGGGTCATCTTTTCGTGTTTTAAACATAGCTGGGTTGAATCCAGTTACTTCCCTTGTACTATTATTTTTAATTGTATTTTCAACAAATCAGATGATCGCTTTGAATTTCCCTCCAAATGTGTTTAGGCTGATGATTTTTTGCGGAAGTTGAAAAGTATTTTCAATAGAGAATACATGTAGTTGTGCTTTATGTGTTTTAAGGATTTGGGAATTGTATCATGGTATATTTTAAACTTTATTGTAAGACAATAACATCTTTATTTCATGTAAACAGTGTATTTGTATTCATGATTTTCATGTATTTAGAATTGAGTAAAGTATTGAGATGGTTCAGAAATAGCATTCCAATTTAACTTCACCTTACTCTTTCTGTTATTCACATTGCTCTTAATAATATGCATCCTTTATTTGATAAATTGCAGCACCCAGTCATTTTGTGAATAAAGTGTTGATTGGAGTAAAGTAAATTAGATGGTATTGATTCATGTGATTATATATTTAATATACCAAATGAATATATACACAAATAAGATAAAAAATAACATGTTAATAGTGGGTATAAAAAGATAATACACCCAAAATAGTATCTCTGCAAATATTTTATAGGTTATACTAACATTATGGATAAGTTTTACCATGTTCTGTATTAATTCTGTATGACAATTACTCTCAGTAAACAGCCTAATTAATAGGTTGCACTCCACACTTAACTTGAAGTTTCTGTCGTCAATGTCCTACAAGCAATACGTCAGATAATTCTGACCCCAAACTAAACAACCTAGAAAAGAAAATACAATTTAATGAGAATATATATGTCATAATTTTGCAAATATATTATATATATCTATCCCATGTATAATAGCCAGGTTCTTAAAAAATTGTCATTCATTCCATTGAAGCTTAAAATCTACTGTGGCCAGACATTTCGTCTGTCTGGTAAAATTACCTGCACATATACTGGTTACAAAAATACTGTCTTTTGCTTTAGCAACTCCCTATACATGCAACATATCACATAAAAACTGGTACTCCGCCTTGAAGAATTTTTGCGACTGCTTAAAGTTGTCCTGGATGTAAAATGTCTTGATTTTAACGAGCAAAATTTACAAAAATTTTTTATGCAAATATAGTGACAGAAAGTTCATTTTCACTTACCTCTTGGCTTAAGTTTTTACTTTTCCTTATGAATTTTAAGATCACCATTTTGATTATTTAATGTGCCCGTTCTACCAAATGGTAGTCTGAAATTGAATGAGCTGACATTCTCTCGAAGGATTCCTAAAATTTGTCAATGTTTTTATATTATATGCATCGACTTCTGTAATCTAGCTTGCGTCGAAGCTTTCCCTTATTTCCATAATTTTTATCTTCTGTTTTGAAGGCTTATATTACAATAAGGTCTTTAAAAAAGAACACATGATATTATGAATGCTTGATTCGATCCAAAATATATATGTGATCTTCTTTCACAGTATGTAATTACGCTGCCAGCAATATATGTCAATAGCGAACATGTTTGTTGGTCAGAATTTAGATAAAATGTAGGAGTTTACTTTATTTGATAAGATTTTTTTGCGGTGAATCTGTACGACGCACCTGACTTCTTGGAGAATGACAGAGCGGAAGTAAGTGTAATACAAAGCGGAAGCACACATGCGCAGAAGCAGTTTAATATTTTACCTGAGCTGTATGACTGGTGTGTGTTTTTGCTAGGGTTTTTGAAGCGTGATTGATTTTCCCGTGATTTCTTGTGTTACTTTTCTCACGATCATGTTTAACAAATTGTGATCTTTAAATTCATAAGGAAAAGGAAAAACTTAAACCAAAAGGTAAGCTGAAAATAATTTTCTTTCACTATATTGGCTTATGTAAAACACTTAGTAATATGTTACGTCGAACGTGTGTATCTTATTCAACTACTATCACTGTGTCTGTTGTTTTAAAAACCGTTAACGTAATAAAAAAGTATGAAACATTGGAAATGATATTTTTGAAAACTGTGTTGAAAAATTATCTCTCAAAAGGTCAAGTGTCTATAAAAATTCAGCTTGAAATATAAAACCTTTTCTTAGCATTAAACGTTTATAATGCCATTAAATTTGTCACCTCTGTACAAAGAAGTTCAGCCGTATGTTAGATGGTTAGAATGATTCAGCATTGCGCATGGCATCTTTAAAAGTACGTACCAGAAAATATTTTATTCCAAAGGAGATATGTTGATAATATGCCAACATTTAAATTCCTGATCAAGAATTTTCGAGGTTTTGAATTCTTGACAAGTGACGCGTGTTGTACTTATTTACGAAGACTACATGCAAAATTTTCAGAGTACAATTGAAGAAGGTTTAGATTAAATTGTCATACATAATATTTTTATATGTTAAAGAAAACAAATAATGCAAACATTTCGTTCAGTTCACACAAGTAATGTTTTTTAGTAGTACCCAGATGGATAACTGTATAACTTTAGTATTGCAAATACTTGAAAAAACCTAAAACAATACGAAGATTAATGACATGAAATAGTATAAATGTTAAAAGTACACGTGCACCACAGACCACTAATTCCATTAAGGTACCTGTATTTCTGTTATTCTATGATTTCCATTTTAATTTTAAATCTTTACGCTGTCCAATGGTCAATATCCTTATTGTTTGTATACAAGAAAAGATTTGACCACTTATCTTGATATTGACAGTATATTGTAAATATATTAGTGTTTTTCTAAGTAGTCTAGCCATCTGTAAGCATAATCATCAAATGCATTCCATGTAGCTAGTATATTCCTATCGTTGCTATGGCAACGGATATTTTGGCATATTCATTATTTGTAGCATGAAGTGTGTTTTACTAGCATGCGGTATCTAAACCTTCAAGCAATGATATTTGTATCTTGTTTCCATTTTCCTGATTTAACATGCTCACCATCTTTCCCCGAAAATTGGAGAAAAAATATAATCAATCGAAAACAATGATAAACCTGCGCGAGAATAGTTCATTACAAAATACATGATGAACATACATATGTTATTGTTTTGACAATAAATTATCTGTACCGAAATAGAATGAAAGCTACTGTTTGAATATTTTGGTTTATAACATTTTTTGACTCACGTCCAAAATCGCTTTTTACCGTCGTTTAATGATCGACACGATTATCTCAATGTTCTTTAAAGTTTAGAACTATCATAATTTCTCCTGAAATTTGGATCAGTATAGAATCGAAGTACGGACAAAAATAACACTTAAATAAACATGCTGATCTTACTGCCAAGGAGTTTTAAACGTTCACTGAAAAGGGCAATGAAAGTGTAATCTGTAAGTTAATTCATAAGTGACTTTTTTCTAAACAAATAATGTCGAGAACAACAAAGTACTAATTCAAGGGTTCTCCTAGACATACTGTATATAATTCTAAAATTCTAGTTCTCATCCGTCAGTACATGTAATGTACTCCTAATATAACACCAAAGTAAATTGACGACACATGTAATACCGGCGTCCATTTTGTTGTCGAATTTCTTATATTTAAAAAATATGACACAGAAAGAGGTAAGCAGAATTTTTGTTACTTAATGCATTTAATTCATCGAGAAAGGTATAAATTTTAATATAATATTTCTGCCCAAACATAAAGTCAACATGCATCCGAAACTAAAATAAGGCAATAAAGACATTAAATGCTTAACCCATCAATACATTGTATCACTTTGGTTCTAAATCAAGGTTAAACAAGGTATACAGAAGGTTTATAAATATGTTCTGTGAAAGAAAATTTAGTTTGATGAAAACATTAACTCTGAAAATTCCATATTCTATCCTACACGGTATCAAGCACTTTAAGTACATTTGTTCCATCATTCTAAGTCTTCTTTTTTGTCGTATCAATGAATGGTTTATCTAATTTAATTATTATTGCATATACCATTACATAATGCGTTTAAAACAAAGGCATTCCAAACATTATATAATTAAATGCTACTTTGTTGGCTTATCAAATGATGGACAGCTGTTGAGTGGCCTTATACTGACCACAAAGGCTACTTGTCTGTTAAGATTATCAGATTTACAGTAATATCACTAATAGAAGTCACTGATTAGTTCCTAATTAACGCACCGCTAGGCCTGATACCAGCTATTTCCACAGCGTGAGATGGGGTTGTTGGAAAAAAGAAATCTTTATATTATTCCAATGCTCACTTTTTAAAAGCAGAAGAAAAATTGTCTTGATACTAAATAAATCATGCAATTAATAAGGTTTGGTACACTTTACCTTCAATAAAGTGTTTTGAGGATTGTTTTATACCATTAAACAATCTCCGAGAAGACGAGATGTTTTAAGACTTGATATTTCCACCTCTATTTATGAACATTTATGTAATTAATCAATCATGTAATTGAACGGGCTATATGTACAATGTTCACTTTTAGGTTGTTTTTGTCATTGAGTCTGCAGGAAGAACTCTGATTTGGTTAGAAGGGCTCCTCCTTTATTTACAGGCAAATCACTCATTTAATAATTTAATCAATTTAATAATATATAAATGATTAACAGCGTTAATAAATGGAAATGAAAATTCTGCAGAAGAAAAGCACCAAACAATAACGACATTTTGGCTATAATTTCTTACTACAACATACATTGCATATAATGAATCATTCAAAAATTGAAAGTGTAATTTTATCAAGATAAACGCCGGAAATACAATTTAGGTTTCATTAATTATATAGGTGTGTGCATCTACTTGTACATGTAACTTGAAGGATCTGGCGGATTACCTCCATGTGCACATATCTGATGTAAGCATTTTGCACAATGGTATATAGTTTTTAATCATCCTGTCTATCCGATGATTCAACACAGAAATATTGCTTACTGTAAATTATATTCTAAGCCGAATACATACCATATTGTTAAATCAACGCTGCTTGAATGGTGGTGAGGAACTGCAATTTAGATATAAAATTATAAATCCGAATTTTATTTAAAACACAAATTTAACTCGAGAATCATTTGATGTTCTTTTGTATAAACCTAATATAATGTATTATAAGTAATCATAATTATACGTTTGAAATTATAATCAATTCTACATTGAACATATTATTTTATCATGCTAATATGATAAGCAACACAACGAATAAATCTTAAATCAGACACCAGTCAAGTCAAATGTGTCTCACAATTTGAAGTTCTGTCTGCTTTAATTCGTAACAAAAATGCCTTTCATTCATTTTGAAATTTTGTTGTTTAACATATGGGCGGTTATAAATCAACATACCTATGACGCTGCTTATTTCTTTAATCAAAAGCACCTTATGCCTCATAAACAAATAAATTTTTACTTTTCTAGAAAGGGAAAACATGAATTTTATTATGTTTAAATAATTGTTTTAGAGAATCTTGGATGCTTGTTACCTGAAGGAAAGTAACGATAAATGTGAATTTAAATGTCATAAAAGTAGCAAAATGTAAACAAATTAGTATTTTGACTTCCATACAAAATACTAATTCACTAAAACTACATTCTTCTTGCCAAAAAGCAACAGGTAAAAAAGTTGGTTCAGGTAATTGGCCGATGAATTTTTAGATACTATAAAAGTACACTAACATTAAAAATCTTTTGAGAAATAAATGAGGCATAATGGGCCTTTAAAAAAACACAACTCTTAACCTTTGAAGATTGCAGTAAGCGAGTATATCAGTAAACATTTTCTTTGTTGTTATTGTAGGTATAAACTATCATAAATTAACAAAAACAATAAGGTGCTTAATACTTCTGCCTATCACTATTTCAAGAAGTTCCGGGTATAAACTAAAAATAACTCTGGATTGAAGAGCCATTTCAATCATGGCTGTTAACAGACGCTTTCATGCTAGAAATAGATCTGGTAAATTGTAATCTGAAGTCAGATAAAATCAATTTATTTTCAGAATTTCCAGACGCGTAATTCATGATTGGTTTATACATTCTATATCTTTCAAATAAATGACTCATCTTTTGAACACGATATGGATCGTTTAGAACAGGTAGCCTGTTGGAATAATCCATTTCCGCTTTAGTTTCTTTAGTCTTTTCACTTTTCACTAGTTTTACATGGACAATAATGACCTAGAAATATATGCACATTCAACACAATGGGTTCATTGAAAAGCGTTTACTTAGAACATCATATGTACTTACACATCCTTAAAAATACAATCAACACACGAGTAGACACAGGTGATGTAGAATTTAATGATATAGAAATAAATACTGATGCTTAATTTTTTTTGGCCTGTCGTGTGCCAATATACCTTGAGGTGTCGGCGGGGGGGGGCTAATCTGGAAAAGTGGGAAAGACTCGCAACTCGCAAAAATAAGTTAAGTATAAACAATACGAGTTTATGACATACTCAATAAGTAGAGAACGAGCAAAAATGCAAATTGTATCTGCAGTATCAGCTTATATCGTTGAATTCATAGACTGCTCTAAGTACAACAAACACTCTTTTTCCAAACATACATAATTATATATACAGAGCCAAATCTGTGTTATAGACCAAATTTAACACAAATCACATGCAGGTAACATTGAAGACCACCGTTTTATTTAATCCCCTTCCAATTTTACACTTTGTACTGCAAAAGTACTTGCTAGAGGACCTTCTGACACGTATAACCCCTTTCCTATAATTATTAAGCTTTCATTCTAACAAGAATTTGTTATGGTGTCATAGATGTTTTCTTCTGATATTCTTAATCAATATTATCATTGATCATGTTGTATTTTAAATGTTATAATTTATGACTCAATAAACTCAACATACTTAATTCTGATATCATG